CTGGGGTTGGCCCTGCTTCCTTCTCTGGAACTATATTGCAAAGAGCTGATTTATGGGGGATTATGGGGACTACCTGATTAATTACCTCACTTTGGAAAAGCTGAGGTAGACAGGTGGAGGACTAGACATTTTTCCAAATTGGAATAATTTTCCTACTTACAAAGGGTTCCAATTATCTTGAAAGCCCAGATGCCCACTTCAGTGTGTGTTCTGAAACGTCTCACTTGAGAAGCTTCCTTCATGTCAATCCCTTACTTACCTTGAATCCTGTGCAATCTGGCCTTTACATCTTGACCGCTTCATTAAAATTGCTCTTGTATTATCAATGACTCCTTGCCAAAACTAATGTTTCTTAGCTTCTTCATTGCTCCTGGCCCACATACTCTTTAAAGGTATCTTTTGCTTTACGTGACAGTGCATGTCTTCCTGTGCTTCGCTGTTTTCACTTAGGAAGAATTAAACTTCAAAAATCAAATACAGGAAGTATAGAAAATAAAGTCTCCTTTCACACCCTCTTTCTTGTTGTATAAAGTAACCACTGAGTTAGCAATTTGGTATAGACCCTTCCCAAACTCTGAAAAAAATTCTTTTACAAAGTAATTTTTAGAAATTAAATGAGATCACATATGTACTTTTGCCTCTTCTTTCATTCTCCATACCTTACAACCCTTTCCTTGCTGATTCATGCATGTATTTCTGTAGGTTAGTCCTTTCACTGATGGATATTTAAATTTCTAATTATTTACAATATGAAGTGTTACAATGAATGTCCTAGTACATACATCTGAGCAAGTTATTTTGAAGATTTTATAACTTGATAGTTGTTGGTTCAAGCTTATATACATTTGGAATTTTGACAGTGCAAAATTGTCCTTCATGGGTCACACCACTTTAGTCTTTCACCAGCCCGGTCTTCAGAGTGCTTGTTTAGACCACCTCTTCCAACACAGTATCCATCTTTTAGTTTCTATCACTGTGATGTTCCAACAGTCTGAGTTTGAGTATCCTTTCTTTTGTTAATTTGCTCTTGGTATTTTAATCATGTTTTTGCTCATTAATTATTCAATTGAGTTGTTCTTTCTCACTGACTTAAATTTTTTAGAAGAAAAAAAACTAAGTCTTTCTGGTCTTGACTTTATAGTAACATAGCTTGTAGCCTTTTAAATGTTTATTATACTAATTTTTTTCCTTTGTGTTCTGGGGCTTGTCTTGCTTAGGAAAGTCTTCCTAAGATTTATTTGTAAAACAAATTTTCTGTATTATCATCTAACACTTTATATTTAATATCTTTAATTCTCCCAAAGTTTTTGTATATGAAAATATTGAAGAGCCTACATTTCTCTATTTGAAAAACTCCACCTCTATAATAAATGGGGTATTTCTGGATTCTTGTTTGACTCATCTATTTGTCTAGTCCTGTTCCAATACCACTCTTCTAAATACTCTATTATAGTTCTAATATGTATTTGAGTTAAGTCCTCATTAATTGTTCTTTTTCAAAAATGTTTTGGTTAATCTTGCACATTTAATCTTCCAGATAAACTTTAAAATCATCTTACCAATTTCCACTAAAAATTAATTAGATTTTTACTTGAAGTGCAACAAATTTAGTCTCAGGAGAATCTCCTCCTCATACAGGGACACAGTGTCTTTTCATTTAGTTGAATCTTCTGTAACATCCATATATGAATTTTCCCTTTTTTTTTACAAAGACTTTGCTTACTTCTTGATAGTTTTTCTAGACTATTTCACCACTATTGCTGCTAATGTGAAAGAGATTTTTCTTTACATTTAAAAACTGATTTTAGTTTATAGGAAAACTTACTTCTGTATGTTGCTCTAATAGCTTACCATCTTACTAAACTTTTTATTCTAATATTTAACATTTTAGTTGTCTTAGCTTTTCCAGATAAACAATGACATCACTTGTCTTAATTTCTTCCTTTCTAATTTCATACCTTATTTACCTTATTACACTGGGTCCAGAATTTTCAGAACAATGCTGACTTGTAGGACAGCAGATAACCTGACCCTAACAGTAAGTGTGCTTTTTGTTCACTCAGTTAAGCAAGCTTCCTTTTATTACTTAATATGAATTTTACCTTTTTTGAATCAGTAATAGATGCTAATTTTTCAAGTGATTTTTCAGTATCAACTAAGATACTAAACTATATGTTTTTCTCCTTATTAGGAAATTTTTATTGCTATACTGTCTAATGCTAACTCATCCTTGTACTGGTAGGCTAAACCCAATTTGGTCATGACATTACAGTGGTACCTCAGTTTTTGAACGTCTCCATTGATGAACATTTCGGTTTAGGAACGCCGTAAACCAGGAAGTAAATGCTTTGGTGGTTTTTGAACACACCTCGGAAGTCAAACATGCCATACGGCTTCCGCTGAGTGCAAGATCCTGAGGCCTAGCTGTTGGCTGTAGATCCCTTGGTTTTCGAATGTTTCAAACTCGAAGTCTTCCGGAAAGGATTACATTCGAAAACTGAGGTGCCACTGTATTGTCTAAATGCACTGCTGGCCTCATAGTTTCCTGAGGATATTTGCACGTACAGTGACTGATTGAGACTGAGATGTAAGTTTCTCCCCTGTTCTCCTTACTTAGAATCTATTAGGGTTACGGTACCTTCATAGTTGGGAAGTATTCCATTCTTCTCTATGCTTTGTTCCTGGTGACTTCTGTCAGGGATATACATAGGTCATTCTTTTATGATTATTACTTCATCTAACTTGAGCCAATTTTTTGAAATTTATATTTTCCTAGAAAATTATGCAAGTCAATTTTCAGGACCACTAGAATAAGTTCACTCTAAATCATTTCTGATTTTCAAAAACCCACATATCTGTAATATGTCCATCCCCTTTGTTTCTAATATATTATTTTCTCTCCTCCCTCAGATCTGCTAAGTGTCTATTTATTGTTCTTTTCAAATACCAGCTATTATTGTGATCAATTTATTTTCTATTTCATTAATTTCTGCTTTTCTTCTTAAATCCTTTGAAATTTACTTTGGGAGATTTTACTTTTTCTGCTTTTCTTCTGTTTCCTTTTCTGATCTTTCTTGCATTGTGTGTATCCTTTAAGGATGTGCTGCCTCATTCCCTCAGTGAGTTTAATCACAATGAAGCAAAAAATGAAGACTTTGCCATTATTATATAACTAGCTACAAGCATTATATTAATTTGGAGTCAATCAGAGTGGGTTCCAATTCCCCACCTCCTTGTTATGTGATCTTGGCCAAATCTGAGCAGTTTCTTCATCTGTAAAAATAGGAATAGGAATAATAATACAGATTAAGTATGAAACTATTTGCAAATCTCTTCGCATAGATACTGTCCCATATTAATTCAACAGATGTCTTGTAAAAGGCCTCAGTTGCCCCATTTCTAAAAATGAGGGTATTGGGATGACTAATCCCCAAATCCCTTCCAACTGTAAAAAGCTTTACTTTCAGTCTACAACCTCATCCACCAATCAACCCATCAATCCACCCACTCACCCACACATCAGTAAGCCCTTCCCCCTTAAACTAAGTATTCTAGATGTCAGGAACTCCAAGATGAATAATGAAACAGTCCCTACCTTCCAGAAGCTCAGAGTCCTTGAGGAGTAGGGGTGAGGATCAACTGTTAAACAGGTAATTATAATACAATGTGATAAGTGGTCTAATATAAAGGTTGTGGAAATTCAGAGACTTTGAGGAATATGTGCAGCTAAATCAAAGATCTAGGTAGAAACCATAATTCAGGTACTTACTACTTATTAGCTGTGTATCCTCAAGCAATTAACTTTGGTTCTTTAGTTGTAAAAAGCAACCGTAATACTATCCTGGTAGGTTATACTAAGGATTAAATAACAAATATAAAGCACTCAACACAGTGCCAGACCCATCATATGAACTCAACAAATGGCAGTTACTAATATTACCAAGAGGCTATGAAAGTTAAAGAAAGGCAATTTACTGTATTTCAAGAGAGGAAAAGTGGGGTCGGGAGAATTTCCCAAATGTGTACACAGCACAATACCTATGGTAAGGCAGAGGTGCAGGGACTTGAAGGGTTGGATGAAAAAGGTGAAGGGACTGAGTACAGATTAGTAGTCACAAAATAGCCACGGGGATGTAAAGTACGGCACAGGGAATATAGACAATAATATTGTAATAACTACATATGGTGCCAGGTTGGTACTTGAAATATCAGGGGAAACACCTTGTAAAGTATATGACTGTCTAATCACTATGCTGTACACCTGAAACTAATACAAAATAATATTGAATGTAAGCTGTAATTGAAAAATAAAATTTAAAAAGTTTGTAGCTAAAAAGAAAAACAACCCAAGGTAACAACAACAACAAAAACCCCTGTGACAAAGCAATAACGATGGGGGGAAAAAAAACCAGAGAGGGGAATCACCCACCTCCAAGGTGGGTGATGCCCTTGGAGGTCAGAGAATTCTAATTTCTGCATTCTCAGCTGCTAGCACATTTCCACATATTTGACCCATACATTTATAACAGAGAATGAAAGAATACAAATTCAGCAACAGGGTTGGAGAAAAAGATTTGGGCTAAATTGTTGAAAGTAAACAGTTTACAGTGAAAGGAACCTTGGGTTTGAAGTCAGGAGACCTGAAGCAGTCTTTTGACTAATGGCCTGTGTTTTTATACTGGCTCTACAACTTACCTGCTGTTTGGCATTAGCAAAATACTGATACCTTCAATCTCCTCACCTGTAAAACAGGGATAACACCTACCTTACAAAATTATTGTGACAATTAAGTACCAAGCGATTTCAAAGGGCCGGGCAGGGCACTAGTAAGCACTCAATAATGATAGCGGCTGTAGCTGCTAACTTCTCCTTTAGATCTTCTTCCATACTTGTGAGAAGTCAGGGTTAAGAATAGCTTTTCTTCAACGTTCCAACCACCACTGAAAAAATTATACTTGGTTTGCCAAGGACGAAAGGCCCCGCCCGGCACGCGCCACACAGGTCACCTACGCAGACGGCGGTCCCGGAGCCTCCGCCCGAGCGCCGAGCCGCGGAGGGCGCGATCCCGGCCCGGCCGTTACAGAGACGCGGCCCGGACGAGGCTGGGCGCGAAGCCCAGCGCACCTTCACCGAAAACCGGTCTCGACCGGCACCCGATTCCTCTTGAGGCGAGGCCCTGAAAGAGGTGAAGGAAGACAAGTCGGAAGTGACGCATAGCCGCAAGGAACCGGAAATGACCGTAGCGCGCCGGAAGCCGGAAGTTTTCTTCGTTTCCAAGGCGACGGCTCCGCCACCGCTCCAGCCCCGCGGCCCGAGTCGGGACGCTGGAAAGCTTCTCCGAGGAGAGGGTACCCGTGGACGGCGGCCGCCGCCGCAGCGACTCGCCAGGAGTAGCAGCCGAAGACGGCGGCCGCCGCACCGGCCCTCGCGTGTGGAGGACCAACGGCCGGCTCAGCCCTCGCGGCGGCCACGAGTTCAGTCTCAGCGAGGACACGGGAAGCATCCGTGTGGATGACGACCAGCGCTGCAGTGTCTCTACAGGAAGAGAAAGCGAGGACCTCGGCTTCTCCCGCAGTGACTCCAGAAGGGTCCGTGAAGACCTGGGCCGCCGCCGCAGTGGTTCTCCGGCGGCTGTGGGGAGAAATGGTGGCCGCGGTCTCTGCAGCTCTTGGGAGAGCGTGAGGAGAGACAGCGGCTTTCTCAGCAGTGACGTCAGTTTCAGTAAAGCAGGCGGCCACCAGTTTAGTGACTCGGGCGGAACGGTCGAAGACCGCGGTCCCCGCCTCTGTGGTACTTGGGAGGGTGTCAGAAAAGTCCGCGGTCCCGGAACCAGCGACTCCGGGGAAAGGGGCAGCGACGACCGCCGCCGCCGCCTCAGCGGCTCTTGGGAAGGAGGGAGTGTCGATGGCTCTCCCAGCGTCAGTAGTTCTTGGGAGGGAGTAAGTGAAGATCGCGGCTACGAGGCCAGCGACTCCTCCGGGGTGAGCGGCAGCCAAGACTCCAGCCGCCGCCTCCGTGGCTTCTGGGAGCGGGAAAGTGAAGACGGAGGGTCGGGCTGCAGGGGCTCCTGGGACAGAGCAAGGGAGGACGGCGGCCCCGGTCCTAGCGAAGGCGAAGGCGAAGGCGAAGGCGAAGACGAAGACGAAGACGGCCGCTGCAGTGGCTCGTGGGGGACAGCAAGTGAAGACCGCCGCAGCAGCGGGGGCCTAGACTCGTCTCCCCGGAGTCGGTGGGATCGCACCATGCCCGGGGTGCCCCTTTCGGGGCCCTCCACCTCCTCCACGGAGACTGCAACCCCGTGTGAGTCAGATTAGTTGCTTCGATGGCCCTTGTCCCCGCCACACTTCCTTTCTGCCTTCTGCCCTCATCAGCCTTACCCCTTTCTGGCAGTTCCCTTTCTCAGCTGTAATTCCGCTTTCCCCCTAGTGACCTGTTTTCAATGGGTCCCAAAGCTGTTCACCTTTCCCCTAACCTCCCTCATTTGAGCTTTACTCCCTTTCTTTCCATCTGCACATTCCTGAGACTTCTCGCCCACTGATGGCCACACTTGTTAAATCTTATGAACCCCTTTAAGTTCTTACTTGACTTCTCTAAAGCATTGGACCCTGTGGAGATGACATTGTACTTGCCTAGTTTTCTTCCTTCCACTCCGTTGACTCTCCCTTTTCTTTGCTGACTTTTCTTCCTTCCTCTCCTTAAATGTTGCTTTTCCCCCTGGACAGTGCCATCACTGGTGCTTTTTTTGTTATGTACTATGACTTCAACCCTCCTGAGGACTTTCATATCTATGTTATTTATTCAGCCATCCAGTAAATATTTATTGAGTGCCTAATATGTGCTGTGTCTTAAGGCTGTATCATTAAAGAACACAGGCATATTCCTTACCTTCTACTGGTGAAGAGAAATACTGAACAACTAATGACTAATGTGATGAATATTATGAAGAAGAGTAGAGTGCCATTATGGTTCCATTATGGGGTGAGGATGGGTATCAGAAAAACCTACCTAATACTGAGACACATTTAACGCTGAGATCTGAACTCCAGACCTCTCCTCTGAGCTGCAGACTCATATGTAAAAGTCCCTTCTGGAACTCTTTCCTGGGACACCTTACGATCAACATGTCTAAAATGTAATTTTGGCCCTGGTTGGGTGGCTCAGTTGGTAGGAGCGTTGTCCTCTACACCAAAAGGTTTCTGGTGTGATTCCCAGTCGGGGCACATACCTAGGTTTCAGGTTCCATCCCCAGTTGGGGCGTGTACTGGGAGGCAACGGATGGATGTGTCTCTCTCACATTGATGTTTCTTTCTCTCACACACAAATCAAATAAAACATATCCTCAAGTGAGGATTAAAAATAATAATAATAATAAAATAAAATAAATAAAATGTAATTTTGTAACCACATGCCCTCTCTGTCCTTCAGCATTCACTGTCTCAATTGCACCACATCACTGAGGGAACTAAGCCAGGCTCCTTGGAGTTATCCCAGTACTCTTTCCTTATTTTGCCCACTATATACATCCAACTTCAGTTCAACCTGTTTTCATAATATTTGTTGAATATTCTGTTTCTAATGCTATTCTCTTAGTCGAGGGTCTCAACCTTTCTGCTGTAGACTACCTTAGCTACTTTATTATGTGGTCGCCCTGAATTGCTAGTGTTGCATTTTTGCTCCCCAATGAATTCCCCTCACCTGTAGCCAGTCCTGTAAACCCAGCATTACAAATCTGATCATTATTGGTCTTTGTTTAAAATTCCTCAGTGACTCCCCATTTAAGTGCTTCTAGCTCTTTATGGCTCCAGTGGCTTCTGCTCCAGGTAAGCTGAACTTGACTGTGTTTCTCTGTATTTGCCTGCCTTTCCAGATTCAGGGTGGAAAAGTCAATGGTTTTCAGTTGTTCAACTTTTCTCCTGTACATAAACGAATGACATTTCCATGCTCTTTACACATAAGAACTGAAATGGAAGTCTGGTTAAGAAGATGTTAATCACAAACACCTGTGTACTAGGTTTGTTTGGAAAGTCAAAGTGATTTTGTGCTTGCTTTTGACTTATTGCTTTAGTCTTTTTTTTTTGGTATTGTAATATATTTTAAGCAATTTGATTTTTCAGTAGGTGCCAGGAAGAAGGTGCATTTTAGTAGCATACATGATGCAGTACGTGCTGGAGATGTAAAGCAACTTTCAGAAATAGTAGAACGTGGAGTCAGCATTAATGAAGTTGACGTTCTCCATAAATTTACCCCTTTACATTGGGCAGCACATTCTGGAAGTTTGGAGGTAGGCTAAATAAAACTGGGGTAAGTTTCCGGCTCTTAGGAGTGTTGTGAATTTAACAAACAGGACTGAAGCCCTTTACTAGGCACTGCAAATAATTTCCTTTTCAACTGAGTCTATTATTGGGTGTTTTGGTTACAATGGCTTTGTAACAAATTGTCCCAAAACTTAGGGGCATAAAATAACCATTTATTTATGCTCAGGAGTGAACCGGGAATTTCGATCTCAGGGACAGCTTGTCTCTGTTCCATGATGTCTGGGGCTTCAGCTACAGATTGAAAAACTGGGCCTGGAACCTTCTGAAGGCTTGTTCACGCAGATGTTGGTGGTAGATGCTGGCTGTAGGCTGGGCACTTAATTCTTCTCCATGTGGGCCTATTTGTAAGGATTCTCCACCTGGCTAGCTTGTGCTTCCTCACAGTATGGTGGCTGGGTTCCAAAGGCAAGCATAAAGGATAACTTAAAAAGGATAACATAATGAATACCTAGGTCTCTTAAATCCTAACATTTTTACTATAGTTGCTTCAAATTTTTAGAAAACAAATGGAATATTATAGATACATTTGAAGTCCCTTAACACCCCTCTCAGGCTCCATTTCTCTCTTCCCAAATCTAGAGATAACAATTACCCTGAATTTGATGTTTATTATTCCTATCTATGTTTTATGCCGTTACTGTGTATGATTATATCATTGTTTTAAATGAGATATTTTATATAAATGACATATGTATCATTCTGCAGCTTGATACATATGGTTAAATATATGTACTCTAGTTTATTTCTTTTGGCCATGTTGTAATAGTCTATTCTTAGACTAGTATCAGAATTTATTCAATGGATGGACATTTAGTTGGTTTCAATTTTTAGCTACTACAAGCAGTGCTTAGTGAATTTTTTTATGCAAAACTTCTTATTCTTGGACTGTATACAAAGCCAACTAACATTTTTCTCATGGTTCAAGGTTGTGTGTGGGGAGCTTATTTTAGCTACTACATTTCCCCACCCTGTAGGCTGCAGTAGGTCTATCCACTACGCAGTCTTCCCCCTCTCTCCTCCCCCCTGCTACACAAACAGAAACTGCTTTCTATAAATATGGCTTCTCTGTGTGATTTCTTGTTTGTCTGTGCTTCTCTGCTTCTTGGAACCAAATCTGGTTTGGAGAATCTCTTTTCACCAGTTTGTGTGCCCCGCTTGAACTGTTGTAAACAAGGATTCCCCTTTGGCCTTTTAGTGACTTCCTCTCAGCTGAGAGAAATGTGCCTTGACGGATCTTTCTGCACATGCAGCCCTGGGTGGGGATTTTCTCTGCTGTTTCCTCCCACCTCCCTATTTGATCTACACTTTGGCAGCTTTCCCATCTGTTTTGTGCTTTGAGTTTTAGATGTCTCCTAGTTTCATCAAAGATGGGGTTTTCTTCCTGTTTTTCTTTTTCTTTTGAAGATTTTGAAGAGAGGAAATACTGATTTTACTCTGCCATATTCCAATAGGATAGGACTTTTTTTTTTTAATCCTCACCTGAGGAGTGAGGGTATTTTTCCCCATTGATTTTTAGAGAGAGTGGAAGAGAGGAGGAAGAGGGAGGGGGAGAGAGAGAGGAGAGAGAGAGGAGAGAAAGAGAGAGAAAAGCATCCATGTGAGAGAGAGACATGGATTGGTTGCCTCCCACACGCCCCCTTCCAGCAGGTGGGGATTGGACCTGCAACCCAGGTACATGGGACTTGAACCCCAGTGACCCTCCAGTGCACAGGCTGATGCTCTTACCACTGAGCCAGGCAGGCCAGGGCATAGGATAGGACTTCTTGACATACTATTTATTTAATCTCTTTCCTGGTATTCTTTCAGCTTCTCTTATTACTCTCACTTAGGCTTCTTTGGTTAGCCTACCCTGCCTATTCTATAAATATAGGTATTTTTGTATGTTTGCCTTCTCCAGGCAGTTTTTAGACTTTCTTGGCTTTATCATTTCTACATAATAATTCACGGATTTACTTTCCCTCCTGAATTCTGTCGTATGTATTGGGTACTTGATCAACAGCTCATGTGTATCTGACTAGCATCTCAAATTCAGTTGCTGTAAAACTAAGTTTTATTGTTTTCTATCCCTTTTTTAGTTTTCTAGGCTAATGGCCTTTGAATCGTTGTTGCGTTGTCTCAATTTTTTCACCATCTAAAGTATTTATTTAATACCAACCTCAGAACCCCCCCCGAACTATTGTAAAACAATATTGTCAGTCAGTGATAACTGTAATATACAATACAAAACAATTAATTTCCTCAGAAATCTGAGAAGCACCAAATGTGACCATTTTTTTAAATGTCTCCTTGAACTTTTTCAGTTTTTCACAGAAGCATTACACATTATTGACATTTGTCTAGGTGAATGGTGCACATTGATGCAGTAAGAACTGAATCACTGGTGAGTTGATTCTGTTCTGTCTTTGTCTTTCAAATTTGCCCTCTTCATCCTCACAGCCGCTGTCTTCGATCTAATTGATTTTCTTCTTTTTTGTCTTGTCTCCCTCTAGTTCATATTCTGTATACGAACTTACCACTCTAAAACGAAAATCTGATATTACTTAACACCCATCCTCTCTAGGATAAAGTTCAAGCTATTTAATATGGTAGATTTATATCTCCCATCTCATATCCCAACACACTTGGACATTTTGAAAACTGGACATTTTAGATTGTATATTGTAGCAACTTCAGAGTCAGATCCTACTCTCTTATCCCTACCCAGGAGTGGTGGTTGCTGTGTTTATATGTTTAGTCGCCTAGACTGATTATATGGAGTCTGTTTTCTTCATAGTGTGTGGCCACTGCTGAGTTGTTCTTTTAATTATTGTTTATTATTTTTAAGCCTGGCTTCCTAGGGTTCACCCCTGGGTCAGCCTAGCTTAATGGTCAGCCAGTGACTTATGAGAGCATGTGCTTAAATACCTTGAGCCAGTAAGGATTTCACCTTTTACTGATGGGTCTGTGTGTAGCTTGGGGAATATTTTCAAAATTCAAGTAGCTTACAAGTCAGCCTGACATCTTTTTTTTTTTTTTTTAAATGTGTTTGCAAGGCCTCATGGTTAGCCATGGATGTCTAACTAGCTTAGTCCCTCTTCAGTCTTTTCTGGGTCTGAGCAGCCTTGTACATTCACATGGTCTTTTAGATCTGAAGGGATAAGTGGCCATCTCATTTCTTGGATTTTCCTATTAATTTTCTGGGTAGTATTTAGTATCATTATTTCAGGCAAGCTCTGTTGTTGGCTTTCTCAAATTGTTCTGAGGAGTAGAATTGTTTTTGACAATGTGCCTGGACATGGAATTTTACATGTTCAGCTCCTAATAAAGTCAGCCCCTCCAGCAGGACAGTGGAGCTGTCCACCCAGGTAGATCTTTAGCACCATGCAGTGGGGGATAGGCATAGCTGTAGTCCCAGTCTCCCTGTTCTTACTGAGATTCAGTAGATTTTCTTGAGTAAATGCTTCTCATTTTGTGATATGCCTGTGGTCAATTTCCAGAGTCTCTAAATTGTTGTTTTTGACAACGTTATTCAGTTTTATCATTGCTTCTTTGGGAGGATTTGCCAAGCTCCTCACTTAGCCGTTTCTGAATTCCTGCTTATTTGTCCATTGATTTTTGATAAGATGCAAATGTAATGTAATGGAGAACAGGTTATTTTCATTAAATGGTGCTGGCACACTTGGATATTCATATGTAAAAAAACACACAAACCTTGACCCATACCTGGTACCACATGCAAAAATGTACTCAAAGTAGATTATTGGCAAATTTGAAACTTAACTTCATAAAACTCCTAGAAGAAAACATAGGAGAAAAATCTTTGCAAATTATGTCTGAACTTGTAACCAGAATAAGAGACAACTCAGTAGTAAGAAAACAAAGAACCCAATTAAAAAAAAAAGGCAAATGACTTCAATAGGCACTTAAAGATAATATGGATGGCAACTGAACACATGAAAAGATACTCATCATCATTAGGCATTAGGGAAATGCAAATTAAAACCACAAGAAATGCCACTACACATATATTAGAATGACAAAAAAAACCCAGAAAATTCAAGAAATGACAATATAAAGTATTGGCAAGGATATGGAACAACTGGAACTCTCATACATTGCTGGTGGAAGTGTAAAATGATACAGCCACTTTGGAAAATAGTTTGGCAGTTTCTTATAAAGTTACACATATACTTACCTAGGTTCCAGCAATCTTGCTTCTACACATTTATGTGAGACAAATAAAAAAAACCTGTACGTGAATGTTTATAGTGGTTTTATTCCAGTACCTGAACTGTGTTAGTATATAGTAGTCTCTACATAAATATTTGTTGAATAAATGAATGATTTACAGTGATTATTAATGAAGTTGAGCTTTTTAAAAAATATGTTATTGGCCACTAATCTCTGTGACAGGCAATTGATACCTAAATGGTAAGCCTTTTCAATAAGTGATATGGCTATAACTGATTTCAGTGTATTCCAATGATACAGTCAATTTAAAAAAAAGAAACTTCTTGAAGGTAGAATCTACAAACTTCAACATATAAAGACAGTAATACTATATGTGGCAGAGACCTCTAAGTACTGTATTATAATGAGACTTAGGGTAATTTTTATAAATCTTAAATGAAGATGCATTTGATTCCTCCCCTTTTTATATAAACCACTGTGGGTTTTTTTAGAGAATATCATCAGAATAACAAAGTTTGCCTTGATACAGAAACTTCTGGACACATTTAATATCTATGGCAGAGGTTGCAAACTAGCAGTCCTTGAGTGAATTTGGCTCACATATGTTTTGTTTGACTTGTACAGTATTGGTCAAACATAAGATTTGGATCAGCATTTTACAGCAATGACTGGCTGGAATTGAATAGCATCTGCACCTTATTGACAAGGAATGTTGTCTCCAGTTTGTCACAGTTCCCACTGCTCCCTATTGTTTACCCAACAATAAGGCCCAATGTTGGTTACCATGTCATTGTGCTTGTGCTTTTGTTTTTCTTATACCTGGTGCTCTTATTCACTTATGATGCTTCTTAGGCTGCAGTATTTCATGATGACAGACTAAATTTAAAAGATATAAAAATGTTTAAAACATCTGTCTTATCATTTGTTAATACGGTTATTTTCTTAATTTAGTGTCTTCATTGGCTCCTCTGGCATGGAGCTGATATTACAAAAGCAACTATGAGAGGCTGGACAGCAGCTCATGTAGCTGCAATCAGGGGTCAGGATGCTTGTATGCAGGTAATAGTAACTTTGTTTACTTTTTAAAGATTCAGTAAGTTTAATTACTTTGGCATAGTTCTGTTAAGCTATTGCTTTTATTCTAATAATTTAATCCTATAGATTTACTTCTATGTTTTAAATAAAAACTTATTTTGGTATCAACTGTCCACTTAAACAAATGATATAAGACAAAACCCTTTTATCTTCAAAGTAGTTGCTTATCTCAGTTGTTTTAAGAGATGCCACAGTCATGCACCGATTATCTCCTTTATAGTTTTCCATGCCTAAAATTCCTTATTTACTGTGTTTCTAGAATAGCACGTTAATATGTGGCAGGACCTAATTTTTTAGAGTAACTGTATTTAATCAATGGACTGAAATAGACTGGAATTTGGAGGAATACAAAATCATATAAGCAAACAGTCCCTGCCTGTAAGAATCCTGAGATTCTGTTTGGAATGGCAGGAGCTCTGTTCACTGAATTACAAAACAATACAAAGCACAGTTTATGATTAAGGTGCCAATGAAAAGTACAGATGAGAAGAATTATAGAACTTAGCTGGAAATAGAAAAATGTTAAATAGAGGAAATACAATTTCAGCTAAGCCTAAAAGAATGGGTTGATTTTAAAGAGGTAAGTGGTAAAGAAGCATTATAGGTAGGGAATATATCAGGAGCACATAAAAATAATGAGTAATGTGTCACAGTCTCCCATGCATCACCTCATTTAGTACAGCAATCCTATGAGATTAGGAAACAGATTCAGAGGGTTAAGTACCTTGCTAAGTAAGTGACAAAGCAAGGGTTTAAACCTATGCTTTGTCCTCTAAACCTCTATACTGTAATTCTGTGTGAAGTCCCTGAATTGGAAAAAGGAGATGTGTTCAGGGGATATACTATTATGTAAGTTTGAGCGTAGATGGTTTGTTCTGTGGACTGTTATGAACTAAGTTTGGATAAGCTAGTTTGTAAAATGTCTGAAAAGTGGAATAAAGATTTTCATTTTATTTGTATTGAAAAGAGATTTTATACACATACTACATATATATGCATATATACATACATATATGCACACATACATACACATGCACATGGACATTAACAGTAGAATGAGGTGATGAAAGCAATATTTCAGGAAGTTATTCTTGTGAAATGTATCCAGGATTACAGAGGACAAAGAGGGAGTTTGGAGGCAAGAAGACCAATTAGAGATTTTTGGTGTACTCACCACAGAGGGTGAATTAGGTGGTGGCAATGGGAAAGAAAGAAAATGATTCAAGACATCTTCCAAAGCAGTCATTGACAGAGTATAGTGGGAAGTTAAAGTTTTAAGTCAGAATGACAGATAATTATGAAACTCTAGATAGGGACACTTGAAAGGCTGGGGAGATTTGGGAGGAAAGAGGTTGAATTCAATTTGGCACATTTTTAAGTTTAAGGTGCCTGTAGGCCATTCAGGTACAGAAGGTGCAGGCAGTTTAAAACGGGCTGGAGACAAAGCTTTCAGGAGTAATAAAGTATAGAGAAGAGTGTAGAGTACTGAGGCTTGAATGTTGAAGAATGCTATAGTAGGCATGGGAGGAAGCAGAGAAAAGAGTAAGGAATTTGGAGGAGGAAGTCTGAGAGAGAGAGACAGGATCCATTATGGCTGTGCAAGTGAAGGTAGAAGTTTAAGAATTAGGCAGAGTATCAGGTACAGGATAAAACTAAGGGGAATAAAGCTTAAGGAAATGCCACTGAACTTAAGAGCTCAGGGGGGCTGGTTGTATTTCTACGCAGTGGTTGGGGTGACACTCAATTTATACGTGGATTTCAAGTTGAGTTCTTAATTTGAGAAGTAGGAAGTGGAAATGGTAACTTTAGGGGACATCAGGGTCAAATGAAGCCTTAATACTTTCCTTCCTCTAAGCCAGGGGTGGGCAAACACATTTGGTCTGGCCCTGTCAAGGCAACTGTAGGCAGGACTCGAAATTCAATAAATCTAGGCTTTTTTCACAGCTAATTTTTAAGTTGATAATTTTGTATGGCCCTCGAATGATGTTATAAATATCCAAATGGAAAAAAAAAATCCAAATGGCCTTTGGCAGAAAAAAGGCTCCCGACCCCTGCGTCTAAGCAGTAGTTCAAGCCATTCCCTCTGCCTGACTGTCCTCTTCCTCAAAGTGACCTCTTCCTTCTTGGAGCTGGGGTGATGCTTTTTTTGTGCTATACTGTTTAGTTTTTGATTATCAGGGACACCTTTGTATAGCGGATTATCTTTGTCTCTGTATAAGTCCTAATTCCCTAAGTTGATATGTCTTCATATTCTTTGTAGTGACATTGAAAACATAGTGAGCACTCAATATATGGTTTGTGATGATGATTAACTAGTTTGTTAATGTGAGTCAGACAAAATCATGGAGATTATTCTTCCTAAAACTCTCGACAGAAATTATGACTAAATAAACGTTTGCTGAGATACTGGTAAATATGGGCTGGTTAAATAAGAAAAAAGGCTGAGGGAGAAAATAAAATTATATTAACTAATAATTTTTTAAAGCAATAACTCTGTACATTATTTGGGATGTGCTGTGTATATGATATAACCCATATACAGGAACTGGGCCAATTGTAAAATCAGATGGAATCTTCTCAGATGCAGTTAGAAGTTTGATTTGAAGCTTAGAACTAGTTACTTTAATAATGAAATCCTTTTATTGTATTCAAAACCAAGTTAATAAAAGATTCTGTTTTTGAAATTGTGGAAGTTTACATTTCAGTTTTATTAGCTTAATGTTAAAGTGTTTAGCTTAGTGGTTATTAATCAGTGCTCATGAAAAGTGTGCCTTATAAATTGTAGATCCATGCGCAAATCCAAATGTGAAATCAGGTATTATAAATGTCTCCTAACCAATGTTAAAAAGGATCTCAAACATCTTCTTTGGATTAGCTAAGAACTTTCCACACTCTGCCTGTGACACATATTAAGAACATATATAATAATTTAGGTTAATAAGTTGCTTGCCTTTAAATAATCTGTATCTGCATTTCTATGATTTAATATCTATATTCATGTAAACTCATTCTTATTTCTCTATTTTTAGGCTCTTATAATTAATGGAGCAAATCTGGCAGTTCAAGATGACCGTGGTTGCACTCCTGTACATCTTGCTGCGACACATGGACATTCTTTCACTTTACAAATAATGCTCCGGAGTGGAGTGGTGAGAGATTCCTGTTAATATGTGAGAATGTATAATCATGTAAATGAAATAGCATTTGGTAGTCTGATTTATCTTCCTGACTTTCTAAGTACCCTTTCTGACTTTAGGGAAGTAATTTGATTTTTCTCTTTAGCTTTTTCATCTTTAAACACAGGAGCAATAATTTCGATAAGTCTTCAGAAAAACTCTAAAACACCCAGTTTAGTAGGGTAAACTGTTTCAGAGGCTATGGGCTCTTCATGTCAGCTCAGAGTTTAACTGGGAAGATTATGAAGCTTCCAAGCACATGTAAATCTTTCTGACTATAAATCTTTCTGAATTTCTGTGTGTACTCTTATATAATTTATAAATTGATTTACATCTCCAGAAATTTCATTTATTATGATACTTATTTTTAATATTACCCAGTGGTTGTAAAAAATAACTTCTTATAAGAACTACCTATATTGAAGACATTATGGTAAGAGTTGGTGTTTCTATAGAGAGAAAGTGAAAAATCTTAATATTTTTTCATTAACTCTTTGTGCTCTTAAGGCTATGATTTGATCATTTTAATTCATTCCTTTCCTTTTACTGGTCAGGAGCTGTGACCAGTAAAATGACTAGTGAATTTCCTTTTTAAAACCTATTTTCATGTGACTAGTTATGTTCTTTTTAAACAGACTGTTTTAGCCCCACTGTTGTGGCTCAGTGGTTGAGCGTCGACCCATGAACCAAGAGGTCACTGGTTCGATTCCTGGTCAGGGCACATGCCCAGGTTGCTGCCTCAATCCCCAGTAGGGGGCATGCAGGAGGCAGCGATCGATGTTTCTTTCTATCCTTCATCTCTTCCTCCGTCTCTAAAAAATCAATAAAAACATATTTTAAAAGACTATAAAATTTCATTAGTATGTTATTAGCTTGTGTGTTCAAATCAGTGGTTTCAGTAAATTTTTCTTTTATTATTTAGTGTTTGCCATATAGCTTTTTTTTTTAAAATATATCTTTATTGGTTTCGGAGAAGGGGAGGGAGAGAGAGAGAGACGGAAACATCAATAATGAGAGAGTCATTGATCAGCTGCCTCTTGCACGGCCCCCACTGGGGATCGAGCCTGCAACCCAGGCATGTGCCCTGACTGGGAATCAAATGAACCTCGACCTAGCCTGGATGATAGGTTGATGCTCAACTGCTGAACCACGCCAGCAGGGCTATTGTTTGCCTTATAGTTTTAAGAGCAGCCTCCAGTTTTCAGTTGCCAAGTTAAGCTGCTACACTTAGTGTTTCCCCTACAAAATGGAAGGAAACTTAGTCCTTGTGAATGTTGCCTCTAGGATCCCAGCATAACTGATGTGAGAGAATGGAAACCTGTACATTATGCAGCTTTTCATGGACGGCTTGGCTGTTTGCAACTTCTAGTGAAATGGGGATGTGGCATAGAAGATGTGGACTACAATGGAAACCTTCCAGGTATTCACAAAAGTGAATATTTTGGTTTTTCATTAATGTGAGTTTTAAAATGTTGATCATGTTTTAAGAAATTTAAACTGCCATTCTAATAGTGCCTCACAAAACTTAAGTAGTAAATATGTTAACATGAGCATTTTAAAATTTTATATGACTCCTGTATTGTATATCTGTCATGTGATTGATTTCTTTTTTTTGGAACTGTATCAGCAAAAGAGAAATTGGCAAAATTAAACTTGAATTTTTCTCTTCCATCCAGCTGTTTCCTTCATCTACTGTCTAGTGTTATTATTTTTTAACTTCACATATCTCCGCCCCACAGACTATTTTTTTAAAAATTTATTGATTTTTAGAGAGAGAGAGAAAGGAAGGGGGGAGAGAGAGAGAAACATCTATTCTACTTATTTATGCATTCATTATTTGCTTCTTGTAGGTGCCCTAACTGGAGTTGGACCTGCAACCTTGGCATATTAGGACAGTACTCTACCCAACTGAGCTACCCAGCCAGGGCCCCAACAGATAACTTAAAAAAAATAGTATAAATAGTGGACACTAGTGTATTTGAGTTAATTTGCTAACTACAGTTGTCTAACCTGCAATCAGCTGGTCAATTGAGATCTATACCCTGTCTTCTTCTAAGAGGTGCTGTAGAAATTCATTAGAGGGATAGCTCACAGTGAGATTGGAGTGAGGGTTACTAAAAATGATACTTGAATTATTTCTTAAAGGAATCTTCAGCAAACATGAGTGGGAAGTCCAGGCAGAATGATATGGCAGGTTTGATCAAATCACTTTGCTGCTTAAAAACTCCATAGTTCCCTGTGGAGCTCTGATTCCTTAGCTTGGCATACTGGGCCTTCATTATTTGGCTCTTACTTACCTACCTTCCTGGCCTCATCTTCACCCCTTTACACTACTATCTGTAATCACTTTGCTTCTTTCTGAAGTACATCCTTTAATGTTCATTTAGTGAATGTCTCTTGGTGTAAACTTTTTCAATTTTTGTGTATCTGGAAATTATTATTATTTTTAGTGTTTTTATTGATTTCAGAGAGGGGAAAGGAGAGGGAGAGAGATAGAAACATGAATGATGAGAGAGTGTCTTTGATCGGCTGCCTCCTGCACGTGCCCTGCTGGGGATTGAGCCTGAAACCCAAACATGTGCCCCGACTAGGGATTGAACTGAGATCTCCTGGATCATAGGTCGATACTCAACCACTGAGCAACACTGGCTGGGCTGGAAATAATTATTTTGCTCTCATTCTTTTTTTGAAATAAATTTTTGAATAAAGTTTTTAAAATAAATTTGCGTATATGGTATAAGAAATGGTCCAGTTTCATTTTTTTGCATGTATCTGTCCAATTTTCCCAGCACCATTTATTGAAGAGATTGTCCTCTCCCCATTGTATATTCTTGACTCCTTTGTCATAAATTAATTGACCACATAAGTGTGGGTTTATTTCTGGGCTCTCTATTCTGTTCTGTTGATCTTTATGTCTTTTTTGTGCCAGTAGCATACTGTTTTGATGACTGTGGCTTTGTAGTATTGTTTGAAATCAGGGAGCATGCATGATACCTCCAACTTTGTTCTTCTTTCTCAGGATTGCTTGGACTAGTCAAGGTCTTTTGTGGTTTCATATAAATTTTAGGGTTGTTCTAGTTCTGTGAAAAATGCCGTTTTATATGTATAATACACAAATGTATTTTGATAGAGATTGCATTGAATTTGTAGATTGCTTTGGATAATATAGACATTTTAATGATATTAATCTTTCCAATCCATGACCACAGTATTGCTTTGTGTTGTCTTCAGCTTCCTTCATCAAAAGTCTTATAGTTTCAGAGTACAGGTCTTTTACCTTCTTGGTTAAATTTATTCCTAGGTATTTTATTCTGTTTGATGTGATTGTAAATGGGATTGTCTTCTTAATTTCTCTTTCTGATAGTTTGTTATTAGTGGATTAAAGTCTTAAATGTAGGAGCTGATACCATAAAACTTCCTCGTAGAAAACATAGGCAGTAAACTCTTTGACATTGATCTTAGAAATAGATTTTTGGATATGCTTCCCCCAGCAATGACAACAAAAGCAAAAATAAACAAATGGGAATGCATAAAATTAAAAAGCTTTTGTATAGCAAAATGAAAAGACAACCTACTGAGTGACCTGGCCAAGACGGTATAGTATATTTTTAATAATATACTATAGAGGTTAAGAATGCCCTCAGCATCAGACTGCTTGTGCTCAAACCTCTCTCTTAAAAAATTATTAACTCAACATTTATTTATTGAGCTTCTATTATGTATTAATCCCTCTTCAAGGTGCTGGTTAGAGCATCCGCCTGAGCACCAGAGGGTCTCTGGTTCGAATCCCAGTCAAGGGCACGTACCTGGGTTGCAGGTTCGATCCCCGGCCTTGTCTGGGCCAGTTCAGGAGGCAACCAATCAATGTGTTTCTCTCACATTGATGTTTCTCTCTCTCCCTCTCTCTCTCCCTTTCCCTCTATCCCTCCCTTCCACCCTCTAAAAATCAATGGAAAAATATCCTTGGGTGAGGATTAACAACAACAAAATGAGAGTGTAGGGGAGTTTTGGATTTTCTTTAGTCTGCTTTATTGTTTTACTTTTTATCTTGAGTCTGTCTGGTTTTAATGGGGTTTTTGTTATATTATTTCATTTATCCTTGGGTTTAGCTGGCACAAATGGCATGAACTGAGTCTTTGTTCTCTATTTTCCCCAACCAGGGTGATTTAAGCTATATATTCTCTGGTTGGGGAAGAGAGTATAAACACTTTGCTCTCAAGTGTCTGGTTAGGGGAGATAAGGTCTTGCGATTCACCAGCTGGCTGTAAGTTGTTCAGATTGTTTGGTCTCATTTAATTTTCTTGACTTGCTTTCTCCATTCCACTTTCCTAGCTTCTTACTGTCCTGCCACAGGTACCATGGGGCGGGGGGCATTTTCAGAAAGAGGTAACAGTGAGTAGAAAGCTCCTGAGACGTGGCGTGCCTATTGTATTTGAGTAACAGCAAGAAGTAACAGTAAGTTAGTGTGGTTGGAACAGAAGTAAGAGGGTAATAGATGATGAGATCACAGAGGTAACAGGAACTACTGAAAGATTTTGAGCACAAGAGTCGCATGGTCTGACTATGGAGGTGGCAAGGACTAGAAATAAAGCAGTTAGGAGACTGATGCAATAATTTAGGCTACTATTTGATTGCACCAGAGTAGAGGTAGCAAAGATAGTGAGAAGTAATTGGAGTCTTTATATCTTTTAAAGATAGAACCATTTTTGCCTGGCCGGTGTGGCTCAGTGATTGAGCATCGACCTATGATCCAGAAGGTTGAGGTTTGATTCCAGGTCAGGGCACATGCCCAGGTTTCAAGCTCCATCCCCAGTGGGGGGCATGCAGGAGGCAGCTGATCAATGACTCTCTCATCATTGATGTTTCTGTCTCTCTCTCCCCCTCTCCCTTCCTCTCTCTGAAATCAATAAAGATATATATATTTTTAAAAAGAGCAATTTAGATTTGCTGATTGATTAGATGTGGGGAGTGACAGCAGAGTCAAGGATAGCTCCAGGGTTTTTGGCCTTAACTATGTGGAAAGGAGAGAGTTTCCATTAACTGATATGGAAAAACTGTAAGGAAAATGTATGCAAGAAGTATAAGGAATTCAGATTTTGACGTGTTAAGTTAGTTAGAAATGCCCGTAAGATGTAAATATATATGATGATTAAGTAGTTAGAGGAGTTTGAAGTTTCAAGGAGTTTTTAGTGGGAGGTTCAGCTGAGAACGTATAGAGTGGTGTGTGCCAGCAACTTCTGGGCATTGTGACTTGTTTCTCTTGAGTTATATTGGTCACTTGAGCACTCCTACTTCTTTAGGGGCAAGATTTGCATATTGATTGGGCTATTTCCCAAATAATCATTTCTCAGGAGTGTAAAGGCTCTTTTGTTCTTTGTAATCATTACCTGTAAGTTTGTAACGCCCCAGAACTATTTTTTTTGCACATTTTGGGTTGTGGCGCTCCCTCAGTCTGATTCAATATATTTTCTTTCAAGGATTCCTTAACATTTCTTGTCTGTTCATGGCGTTCTTGTTTGTTTTTTAGTCCTTTATGGCTTTAAAATATATATTGATTATTATTTTCTAGGATTTAGAGTAGAAAACATAAGGTAGTGTGTATGCTTAGTTTGTGATTTTGATCCAGTCTTCTTGTTTATAATAAAAACGTTTGTGGAAAACAAAATACATAGTGATAAAAATAACATCATTCATATTTGCATAGTGACTATTTTGGTTTATTCTCCCCTCCCCCCCTTTGCAAAATATTAAAAATATTTGTCTGTCTGTCATCTCTCTGTCTTACATAGCAAGCATTGTGTCATGTAATGGTAAGCTGCATAACTGGGATTTCACTTTCCAGTGCCTGCTGTTTGGTGACCCTCATCTGGCCTCTCCACACTCATACTAAGTATTGCTTTGGCATGACTGAAGGCTAAGGACATATAGTCTGGGAAAAGGTCTGTTATCCTTGCTCAGAGTATGTCCCTATTATATAGGGCAGGATAGTCATCTCTCTATGAGGATTAGAGCCAATGTGTCATTTCTTTTTTGATGATTATTTTTATTGTCAATTTAAAAATGAAATTCTTTTTTTTCTCTCACCTGTAGTTCACTTAGCAGCCATGGAAGGCCACCTTCACTGTTTTAAATTTCTACTCAGTAGAATGAGCAGTGCAGCACAAGCTTTAAAAGCCTTCAATGACAATGGGGAAAATGTGCTGGACCTGGCCCAGAGGTTCTATAAGCAGAACATTTTACAGTTTATCCAGGGGGCTGAGTATGAAAGAAATGATCCAAAAGATCAGGAAAGTAAGTAATAAACCTGAAATGTTTCAGTATTTAATACGTGGAATAAATGAAAAAGGAAAAGAAATTATGAGTTAAATGTTATATTAAAGTCTGTTACATATCATTGTCCATGTATTTATTCATGTTCTCATCTTTATATGAAATATTTTAGGCAGAAATATACAGAGATTAATATAATGAACAATTTTCATACCATTGGATTTAATAATAAAATATTATAGGTACAGTTAAATCTTTTGATCCCTCTCCTCTAATACTACCCATTCCCTTTTCTTTCTCTTCAGAGGTAACTATTGTTTTTGGATTTGTAATTCCATTCTGTGGTTTTATATTTAGTATATATGTACTCACAAAAATATCCAGTATTGTTTTGTGTAATTTTAGAGTAAGAGACCAAACTGCTACAACTAAGAAATCCTAAAATTCAGCGGTTTAAATGGTATAGAAGTTTATTTCTTTTACATGACAACTTGGGTTGGAGAGTAAGTAAATCTGTTCTGTTTGGTCACTGAGGGACCTACTGTCTTCCCAACTAATTCTCTGTAGTTGTTGCTAATCCAGCAGGAGATGGGGAGAGAACAAGAGTATATGCCTAGGAATAGAAATTTTCAAGGTCTAATTTTCACATCATTTTGCTAACTTTCCATTACATAGCTGCAAGGAAGCCTGGAGAATTTACCACCTAGCTGAGAAGCCTCATCTCAGCTGCAACTAACTGTTTTACTAATGAAGGAAAGGGATTTTAGTAGACAGTCTTTGAATTAGCAGTCTTTGAAACTTCTTTTAAACTTCATAAAATGGCGTAAAAGAGTACATATCCTTCTATGACTTACCTTCTATGACATATTTTTGAAATTAGGTTGATAGATATATCGTAGTTTATTCTTTTTAAGTGTTTGTGTAGTATTACATTTTATACAAACCATAATTTATCTGTTCTCCAATTTGCCATTTACATTGTTTACAATTTTTCACTATTACAGTCAACATGGTTATGTCCATGTTCCTTATGTACATGTACAAGAGATTCTTTAGAGAAGTGCTTCCCTACCTTTCCACACATAGCCCACACAGAAAATTATATTTGTATGGCACACTGGGACATTGGATGAGGGTTCTTGGGGTACTGCCTAACTTTATTAAAGTACAATTTATATGCAATAAACGGTATTGATTTCAGGTGTGCAGTTAGATCCCTGGCTAGGAAGCTCAGTTGCTTAGAGTGTTGTCCCAACAAGCCAAGGTTGTGGGTTCAACCTCTACCAATGAATGCATAAATAAGTGGAACAACAAATCAGTGTTTCTCTCTCTCTCTCCCCACTTCCCTTCCTCTCTTTATTTAAAATTAAAGTGTTCAATTTGATGCATTTTCACAGTTGTATACACTCATTAAACCATTACCACAATCAAGGCATAAAACATTTCCATCATGTCAAAGGCTTTTTTTCCATACCCCCTTGAAGTTCATCCCTCCTTTGCCCTTGGCCCCACACAAACACTGATTTGCTGTCACTATATATCAGTGATATTCAACCTTTTTTATCTCATGGCACACATAAACTAATTACTAAAATTCTGTGGCACACCAAAAAATACAACTTTTGCCAATCTGACAAAGAAAATAGGTATAATTTTGATTGATTCACACTGGACTGCTATTGTTGAGTTGGCTATTGCCATTTTTTAATTTGATAGTCTAAGGGAAAAAAAGTCAATGCCCTGAACTGGAATTGAACCGTGACCTCCTGGTTCATGGGTTGATGTTCAACCGCTGAGCCATGTTGGCTGGGCAGGTATTGCATGTTTTAAAAATTCTTGCAGGCACACCAGGTGAAAATCACTGCTCTAGGTTAGTTTGAATATTTTAATGGAACTGTTTTGAGTTTCATCTGTGTTATGTGTATTAGTAGTTCATTCCTTTTCATTGCTGAATACTATTCCACTGCATAGATGTATCGTATTTTATCACTTCATCTGCTGATGAGTATTTGGATTGTTTCCTATTTTGGGCTATTCTTAATAAAGCTGCTCTGAACATTTACATAGACATATGTTTGCAGTTCTCTTGGTAAATACAGAAGAGTGGGGCATATGGTAGGTTTATGTTTAACATTAAGAAGTTGTCTGTTTTCCAAAGTAGCTGTATTGCTTTATATCAGATATGCATGAGAATTATATTTGATCCGTGGCATTCCCAACATTTGATATGGTCAGTCTGTTTGATATTAGCCATTCTAATGGATGTATAGTGTTATATTATTGTGGTTTAATCTGCATTTTCTGATAACTAATAATATTGAGCATCTTTTCATATGGACATCATATATCTTCTTTTATGAAGTGTCCAATTCTTTTGCCCATTTTGATTGGGTTGCTTGTCTATTAATTATTGAATTTTAACAGTTCTTTATATTTTGTCAAATATATGTATTGCAGATATTTTCTCCCAGTCTGAAGCTTGCCTATTTTTATTTTTAGTAGTGTCTTTCAAAGAGCAAAAGTTTTAAATTTTGAAAAAATACAATTTATCAATTTTTTTACAGGTCATGTTTTTTGTGTGTGTCCTATCTATGAAATATTTGCCCACCCCAAGGTCAGCAAGATATTCTCCTATGCTGTCTAGAAGTTTTCTAGTTTTAGCTTTTTAATTCATATCTTTGATTTATATCAAGTTAAATTTTATGTGTTGAGTGAGATAAAGTCTTGATTTTAATTAAAAAAAAAAAGTATAGCCACTTGTCCTAGCACCATATTTTTGGAAAGCAGCTTTGTCAAAAACCGGCCACCTGTATATGTATAGGTGTATTTCTGACCTCTTCATTCTATCTGTCTTATTGATATGTCTGTTTATTTGCCAGTACTACACTGCTTTGATTACTGTACTTTTCAGGTAGTGTAAGTCTCCAACTTTGTTCTTTTTAACATACTCTTTGGTTATTCTAGGTTGTTTCCTTTCCATATGTAAAAATGAGAGTAGCTGTATCTCAGAGTTGTTGAGAGTGTTAAAAGAGGCAGTCCTTACAACTGTGCCTGGCATTCAGTAAAGGCTGAATATATAAAAACATTTTATCAAGTATTTACTCTGTGCTAGTCACTAGGTCAGATATGTTCACACATGTATATGTGTATATGTATTTATATATGTATTTGTATATGTATACATACATACATACATACATACATTTTATCTGCTTCTAGTTTATTTTGCTTTCTTCACTCCCTTGCAAGCACAGAGAAAGAGTGGTTTGTGCAAATGTAAGACTTGAGACCAAGTACGTCTTTAGGCAAAGGGTTGAAAATGACCATCTCCTTGTGTTTTGTGGTGGCCCACCAGTAAAAGGGAACATGACTAAGAATAGTTCTGATATAATACTACTCTTAGCATGTTGAAGTGTTGAGGGGTGGAAGTGTGACACAATTAATAATAATTTTATTTTGTGGTTCTCTTTTCATTACTTTATTATCAACTAAACTAAGTCCAATATAATATTCTCATACTTCAGTTAATATTGAAATCTAAAATGTGTGACTGCTTAAGGCAGGAAAATGAACTCATGTGTTTTACTGAAATGCTAAATTTTTTATTCATAGCTTTAGCATTTCCAGGTCATGTGGCTGCCTTTAAGGGTGATTTGGAAATGCTTAGGAAACTAATAGAAGATGGAGTAATCAATATTAATGAACGTGATAGTAACGGATCAACTCCTATGCATAAAGGTGGGTATGATTCCTGCTTAATTTTGAATTCTGATACAGTTGGACCTTTTAAAATAATTGTCCATCAGAAACACATGAAAATATACGGTATATAGAGTGCTTAATTTTTTTTTAAAAAAAATATCTCTTTATTGATTTCAGAGAGGGGAAGGGAGAGGGAGAGAGAGAGAGAAACATCAATGATGAGAGAGTCATTGATCGACTGCCTCCTGCATGCCCCCGACTGGGGATGGAGCCCGCAACCAGGGCATGTGCCCTGACCAGGAATCGAACCACGATCACCTGGATCCCAGATCAACTCTCAACCGCTGAGCCACGCCCGGCCGGGCTAGAGTGCTTAATTTTTAATTCAAGTGTGATATTCCTTTTATGATGTCAGACATTCACACATTATCAGATTTGAAGGTAATTCCAATAGAAATTCTCTTTTGATATTGTCATGTAGTTAAGATGTTAATTTCACTGCTAGAGAAGTTTCTTAGGACTAGCATTTTCTTTGTACTAAAAATGAACTGTTCATGTAAAACAGAAACCATGTCTCTTGAAAAAGATCTAGCAGAATTTTCTTTGTTCTTATACTCCCCAAAAATGTTTTTACTTCCATAGAAATATCAATTAACATGATATGAACACATTTTCAAGATGTCTGCAACTTTTCTCTGCCCTCTCCTTTCTTCTGTGTGGAATTCTAAAATATTAATCAGGTTTTTTTGTTTTTTAATCAGACTTTGTCAAATTGTCAACTAGGTGTCAGGAGTATATCTCTAGGATTTATTCTCACTAATCTTCCTTTTATTTATAAAATATAAAACTAAATCTTTAACCTATTGCACCTGAAATTTCCATTTGCTTCATTTGTGATGTTATAAGTTTCTTTATAATCTGACAGCTGGTAATTCTTGTAAAAGTCTTAGAGTAAAAAGACAGTAGTCTTGTTAATATAATGTGTTTGAATTGGACTTTATTTCATAAATAACCAATCACAGATTATGTTCCTGTTGGTTAGGTTCTTAGCTTAATCATTAAAGTTTGTTTAATTCATAATGTATCTTAAGAATATTAAGCACCATGTGTACCAATAGTTTTATGAGAGAAAAGCGTGGTTGGGGCAGGAAGAAGGGTAATGAAGGGAGTTTCTCTTATACATAGAAAGGGCCCCTCTTTGGTAAACACTACTTGGAGAATCTTGCTCCATTGATCTCTTCTATTTGTCTAGGTGCTAAAGCTTTTTCCTGTGGGATTTATGAATGAGACAGAGACTTAAAATGTGCATAAAATAGTGTGTGTGTGTGTGTGTGTGTTTTAAAGAAATGTTCTGCCTTGAAGTAAAGCCCCCAATTCATAACATAGGTATAACCAGTTTTTATTCCTAATGTGTATGTGGGGTGTTTATGAGAGATCAAAAGAGAGGCTCACTCATGGTATTTATAATGCATCTTTGGGGGAACGGTAAAGTGAGTTTTATTGACAGATGGTTCACAGCCTATCTCAGTCATTTCTTCACCATTTGAACTGAGATGGGAATGAAGGATCTGGAAGAAGGTTCTAAAGAGATTGATGTACAACAGAGTGTTTTGGATACAGCCATTGTGAGAAGGTGAGAGGGTGAAAGTGAGGAGGAACCAAAAGGGTTTGTCCTTCAGTCCTTCTCTTGTCAGTCTGTCTGTTAAGGACTCCTGGGGCCAGGGGTGGATCAGATGGTGTGGTGGAGGGGTAATAAGTGAGTACAGCAGGGGCAAAGGGCATTTTTGTGTATATTATCCTTTTCCTGGGAAATATCTGTATGTTTAAATTATACCCAAATTGGATAAATAAAAGTTGCCTTATAATTTAATTCACATTTTGTCAATCTATCTGCTTTTCCTTTCATTTAAATTTTGATTCAGTAGGTAAGCTGCAGTACCTATTAGTCATTTAATGGTTGTTAAATCCATTATGACTTCTCCTTTCTTTCATTTACTTTTAGGCCATAATTATTTCAAATATTTCTTAAAAATTTCTAGGCACTGCATAATTTTATCTTGTTCTCTTATAAAACATTGGTCAAATTAATCAACATACTCTAATCAATGTACAATAAGGATCTTGGATAAAAAATTCTTTTATTGTATTTCATTGTAGATAAATTACTTAGACCTCCTCCCCCCTTGTAAATATTACCTGTGTAATAAAATGGAAATGTTGGGTTAAACTCACTCTGCCTTATAAAACTCACCATTGTTCAGGATTCATAAATATGATTTTGTAACTTTTACAGAAAATAGATGTTGCTGTTTTTGTGTAAAGTGAAGTTATTTTTAGAGATATGGGAAACCCTGTAGTATTCTTTGTTTGTTGGTTTGGATTTGCTGTAGGAGAAAGAGAAGCCCTAAGCTCCTTAGGAGCCAACTCTGAGTTTGGCAGATGGCTCTGAGTTAGTTATGGAAAAGTAGTACAAGAGTGCTTACAGACCTTTTGTAAGTTGGGCCATAGGGCTGTAGTGATGGGGCTGCTTTGTCACTGGACCTGGCTTTGCATCCTTCCCTCCCTGTTCCTGCTATTGGAGGTGGATTCACTTTTTAAGGTACAAAGCCATACCAAAAGTTCATGCTCCGATTTATTTTACAGAGGCACATATATATTTAGCACCAACCATGTGCCCACATCATGAAGACAGTATGAGATGCAGACTTTACTGTTAAGGTGCTATACATACTTATACCATGAACAGCTAGAGGTTTGTATGTATAAGTCAGGATGTAATAAATGGCAAAAAGATTTGGTTGTTAAAATATATGCAGTGGAATTCAGGAGTAGAAATTGAACAGAAGAAGTTGTTAAGAGTCAAATTATTGAGGAAGTGTTCATGGGAATTCAGAAATGATACCTTAAGTTTACATGACATTTAACAGGGTGCAAAACTGTCATATTTAATCCTTATTGTAATTTTTATAAATATGAAATTATCTCTGTAAAAGATGAGGAAATTGAGGTCTAGAGGAACCAGGTTTTTGTACTGAGGTTACACAGCTGGTAAGAGCAGAGCTGAGATTTCATTTATTTTTTCTTCATTCATTCACTCATCAACTCTACAGACATTTCATGGCCGTGAAAATTAATATTGAGGGAATGTGTTTTGAGGACAAGATTTAGAAAAAGATGGAAATAGTTTAGGTAATCAGTGGGGGACCTGTAAATTTTGAGTTGTGAGGGTCAAAGGAATATGCTATTAATATAAGATGGCACCAGATTTTCCAAGTCAGTGTGGGTCTCTGGCTAGATTGCCTCCCGTCCTGGTGTAATACGAGGTTGGTCAGGAGCTGTAAACAGCAGCCGAGAAGCAAGCACTGGATAAGGTTCAGGAAAGACTAAATGAATAGTTTCAGACCCATTACTTCTAGCTGTGTGGTGTGAAATAAATACCCTCTTTGAGCCTCAACTTCCATATCTATGTAAAGTTCTCTGTATAGGGGATAAGCACAGTACATATTCGATTAAATGTTTGTCTAATGAATGAATAAATGAAATAGAGAAAATTATATCTGCCCAACTTCCTTTTGTCAGTTATTGCAAGGATCAGTACTTATGAAAGTACCCTCTAATGGTACTATTCAAATTTTTGGAAAATTGCTCCTAATAACAATAACTCTTTTTGTCTATTTTCTGGTTTTGTGTGTGTTTGTTTATAGCTGCTGGACAAGGCCACATAGAATGTTTGCAGTGGATAATTAAAATGGGAGCAGACAGTAATATTACCAACAAAGCAGGGGAGAAACCCAGTGATGTGGCTAAGAGGTATCCCTATCTGCTTTACTACTTCTTTTGTTTTGTTTTGTTTTTAAAGTTTTGCATGTACTCTCTTATACTCAGAAATCTCTGAAGGTTTAATGGAATTATAAGACTCAGTCAAATGATGGAATGATAGTACTCAAGCTGAATAGACATTTGGCATTATATCAACTCTTTAAAGCAGTGATTCTCAACTGGGAGGTAGTATTGTTTCCCTTCCTGGGAGGAAGGACATTTGGAAATATGTGGGAGTTTGTCACAGTGATTAGTGACCATCACTAATATTTAGTGAGGTCAGGTCCAGGAATACTTAATGCTAAATATCCTACAGTACTCTGAATAGTGGTGCACAGCATAGAGTGATCCCACCCCAAATACTAGCACCTCTTGAGAAATATTGTGTGATAAAAAGGGGTAATCAAAAGGAGTCACATGGGTTTTGAAACAAATTTTGGTTTCAGGTCCTCAAGGAATATTTACTCCATTCATTTGTTTATTTGGTTGCTTTTTAAAAATTCAACTTTATTATACTTATCGTGTTCCAAGTGCTATGGTTAGTGTTAGGATTACAAAGATGAAAAAACTCAGTTCTTGCCCTCAGAGAAGCTTAGAGTCTTGTGGAGAGACAAATTATGATTATTGTAACAATCATTATTAATTATAATCATCATTATGTGTAAACATTATTAATTATAATCATTATATTATATTATAAGGTACAATAAGAATGTAGGAGGAAAAGTGCCAAGTCTTCCTATTTGAAAGTTGTGGAGGAGAAATTTTAATACAGATGATAAGAGACATGAAGGAAACTCTAGGACAGAATTTATATAGAGGTAAAGGAAAACTATTTTTTTGGAGAAGCAACATTTATACTGACACTTGAAGGAGGAAGAGCTGTAAGAAGACACTTGTGTGTTGGAAGAATTGCATGTGGTTCAGAACTGCTTGAATCTAAGGTAGAAGTGTGTGCCCTGACCTGGTAGCTCAGTTGGTTAGAGTGTTGTTTGTAAAGGCCAAGGTTGTGGGTTTGATCCCTGGTCGGGTCACATACAAGAATCAACCAATGATGCGTAAATAAGTGGAACAACAAGTTGATGTTTCTCTCTCTTCCTCTCTCTAAAATCAATAAATTAAAAAATAATAAAGTAGAAGTGTGGGCTAAAAGATGCAAATGAGGCTTGAAAGGATGCAAGGACCTAATTCATTAAATGTCCATGCAATTTTTGTTTGTGAGTTCATGTTTCTTAAAATTTTGTTTGTAGGATTTCTTTGAAGCTTTGGAGTGTGGTTTTGTTGTACCATGTACCTAATCAACTGAGGCGCACTTTATTTTTATTTTTACAAACAGCTTTATCAAGGTAGAATTGGCATACAATAAAGTACATATACTTGTACTGTACAACTTAATGAATTCTGATATATGTATATACCACCCGTGAAACCATCACAATCAAGATAATGAATATATTCATGACCCTCCAAAGTCTCCTTGCTTTCCTTTGTAACCTCTCTCCTTCCAACTACTGACTTCTCTAAGCAAACACTGATCCACTTTTTGTCACTGTAGATTAATTTGCATTTTTAGAGTTTTATATGAATGGAACCATCCCGTAAGTACTCTATAAAACTGGCTTCATAAGTATTAGTAGTTCATTTCTTATTGCTGAATAGTATTCCATCAGATGTAGAATTCCATAGTAATCCATGGTTTGATTATCCACTAACCTTTTTAAGGAGATCTTAATTGTATCCATTTTTTGGTGATTATGAATAAAGCTGTTGTACACATTCACATACAGGTTTTTGTGTGAATATAAGTTTTCAGTTCACTTGGGTAAATACTTAGGGGTAGTAATTGGTGGATCATATGCTAAGGGCATGTTTAACTTTATAAGAAACTGCTTTCCAAAGTGACTGTAGCAATTTGTATTCCTACCAGCAATGGATGAAAGTATCCGTTGCTCCTTAACCTCCTCAGCATTTGATATTGTCTTTGATTTTAGTAATTTTAATAGATGTGTAGTGGTATCTCATTGTAGTTTCAATTTGCATTTTTCTAATAAAAATAATTTTGATTTTGAGGGTTTTTTTTCCATATACATATTTTCCATTTGTATATTTTACTTTGGTGAAGTGACTGTTCAGATCTTTTGTCCACTTTTTAAAATTGGGCTGTTCCCTTATTGTTGAGTTTTAAGAGCTCTTTATATATTCTGGATACTAGTTTTTTCCTTACATTTTTATTTTGTAAAAATTTTATCTCAGTTTTGGCTTGCTTTTTCATTCTGTTAATGTCTTTGAAGAGCAGAAGTTTTTATCAATTTGTTCTTTTATGGATTATGCTTTTGGCATCATATCTAAGAAATTATTGATTAAAACAAAGTCACAAAGATTTTCTCCTATGTTTTCTTTTAGATGTTGCATAGTTTTAGGTTTTACATTGAGGTCTGTGATCCATTTCAAGTTACTTTTTGTATATATTGTGAGACATGCATCCAAGTTTTTCGTTTTTTTTTTAATATAGATACCCAATTGTTGTTGCACCATTTGTTGAAAAGGCTGTCCTTTCCCCACTGTATTACCTTTGTGTCTTTGTCCAGGTTAAGTGTCCATATATGTGTGGACTTATTTTTAGACTTGTATTTTGTCTATTGACCTATTTGTCTATCTTTATACCAATATCACGTGGGTGATTTAGTACTATGGATGTATCTAGAGTTGGTCATAATTTCTGGCCCACATTTCTTTGTAATTCATGCACCAAAATGCTAGGTCTGAATGTAATGTTATAGAAATAACCTTGAATCTGGTATAAAGCAAGTACTCAGTAAATGAGAGCTGTTAAATTACAACCTAGTAATGGAGCTAGTGATTTCTATTAACCTTACAACTTCCTACATATGTTGATTACTACATCTTTAATGATTTGTATTACCCGGTGAAAGGTAAGGATATATGTATTTGCATGTGTGTGTGTGGTTCTGTGGTTACGTATGTGAAAAAAATAGAATATGAGATTTTTGTGTTTAGTGAGTAATTCTCCATGTCTTAAAAGAAAGCATTAAGCATCTCAGTTAGCAAAACTGTGGAAAAATATACAGATTACATGCAATTACAGTAACTCCAAAAACAAGAGTATATTACTGGAAGCTTCATTGAGATGTGAGAAAGATCAAAGAAAATAGAAAATATGGATGGAAAAGTCATTATTTTTCCATTAAATTTCAAAGCCATGCCAGGTACTTTGGATTGAGGAAGGGTGAAGATTAAAGGTAATAAAGCTATAGTTAGCCCTAAAACTAGAACCAGAACTAACTCGACAATCTGAATTAGGCCATCAGAAAAAGGTAGTAAATGCACGTGATCATATAGAGTGGTTTTGCTCTAAAATAAATAAAAACATATTTTAAAAAAATAGAATTATATGTCAAATAGAGTGGTTTTGGGCTTTCTATCCAATTTAGCAATTCTTTTTGGGTGTCCTCTCCCAGTTGGGTTTTTGCCAATAAAAATTATGGAATCTGTCTTTAATGCAACTGCTTGTCCTTAGTGTCCAGTAACTGTTTGAGTTTCCCATATAGCTGAATATAGTACCTGGATATAGTACATCAAATTGGCACTGATCTTCAGATACAGTTTTGCTTCTTTACTGGGAGGTGGGTTGGTGGCATAATAAACAAAGTGTAATTCCCTAAATTAAGTTCAAACTGCAGTCTCAATTTGAAAATTGTGGTTCTTGTTAATTGTTGATTCTTTCCTATAGGTTTGCCCATTTAGCAGCAGTAAAGCTATTAGAGGGGCAACAGAAATATGATATAGATGATGAGAATGAAATTGATGAAGATGATATGAAGTTTTTTATAAGACATGGTGTTGAGGGAAGCACTGATGCCAAGGATGATTTACATCTTAATGAGTCAGATAAAACAGATGCCAGAAGTAAGTGGGCCAACTCTGTTGTGATTATTTAAGAAATGCCATAGTCATCTTTTATTTTATTTTTTTACCACAAATTTGGAAATTATCCTAAAGATAGTTACTATCTACAAAGTAAAATACTTTCATTTTGGGGGGAACCAGAACTAGTATAATTTTTGTACTAGGGGTTCTTGAACATATAAAAAATGTAAGACATGATCTCTTTCCCTCAAGGAGGAAAATGTTATATAAGAGAAAACATTATTTAAGTGGATCATAGGAAACAGGAAGAGACATCTCAAGGATTTCCATGGTTAGTTGGCAAATGATGTTTACAGATAATAATAGCAGCAAATAGTTATTGTCTACTATGTGCCAGATACTGTTGTAGATATTGGAGAAACAGTGAACAAAATCCCCACCAAGAACTTACATTTTGGTGATGGTGGTGGCGACAGATGTTTAATAAGAAAATAGATACATAGAGAAAATAAAGTAGGGTGGTGCTATAGATAACCATTAGAGGAGGCCTTTCTAAGGGAGTGACATTTGAGAAGAGACCTGAGCTTATAGATGCCAATAACCTGCTCCCCTCCATCCATCAAGTTCATAAGCAACAGTATATCCAGATGATGTCAAATGTCCCTTGGGGGAGAAAATCACCCTAGGTTAAGAAGCACTGCCATGCAGGATAGGAAATTCATAGGTTCGATAGTTGGAGAATGGCTAAAAGCAGCTCTCAGCACACTTCATTTGCCTGCTATCCTCTTGCATAGATATTACAAGTAACTAATCATAAAATTTGGGGGCTGGATTAGCTCTTATTTGTTTTAAATCAGCATATATCAGTTTTTTTAATTTTTTGACATACCATAGATTATGCCTGGTCCTATAATATACGGTTAGCCCTAAAACACTTCTAGTCTTTAAACCTTTTTGTTCATAGTATTAAAAGTGAAAACAATCTGGTACATCCTCCAAGAGCAGGAAAAGAATCCTCTGTTTAGGTTTGTCATTGCTTGTTCATCCAAATATTCTGTTACTGATATTTAACCTTCTATGTATATGGCACCTCCCTCCACCCTCATCCCCAAACCACACAGACACTGGCTTTAGAAGAAGAATAGGCTCCAGGACGAGCATCCTTTGGGCACCTGTCTAAACTACATTTCTATTCAACTCTGTCTTGCAGTGAGAGCTTATAAGAAAATTGTAGAATTGAGACACCTCCTAGAAATTGCTGAGAGCAACTATAAACACTTGGGAGGGATAACAGAAGAAGATCTAAAGCAGAACAAAGAGCGGCTGGAGTCTGAAAAGTAATGTCCCTCAAACTTTAATGGTTTGTTTTTAGTTCTCTCTCTAAATGCCATGTGAGGGTTTGCTGACCAACAACTTGTTTTTTTGTCCTTGGAGTGTAAGATTCTGTTCTGTTTTCCTCCTAAGACCCAAGATGGAGAAGGTGTTAAGGTTTTTTCGTATTGTGGTAAAATATACATAACATAAAATGTATCATCTTAACCATTTTTAGGTACAATTCAGTAGTGTTAAATACATTCACATTTTTGCACAACCAAACTCCAGAACTTTTTTCATCTTGAAAAACTGAGACTCTATAGAGTTAAGATTTTTTTTTTTTTGAGACTACAGCTACTTCAGGCTTTTCAACTGACACATTCTCTAACTACCCCTATCAAATTGGACTGCTTGCTCATGAATCTGAGACTGTGTCCACTGTCTTGGTACCTCATCAGAGGATGCCGTGTGTCTAGAAGCAGTAAGCAGGTGCATCCTTTACTTCCAGTACCTTTAGTTGGCTCTCTGCACGTTTGGTGCCTCTCTCATTAATTAATGGCTGCTGGAATAGAGGATGCCTCATGCTTTATTTCCTTCCACTGCCTCTCTGCTTGTCTGTCTGCTTTTCAGAGTGGACAGGGAACAAAGGGAGATAGGAGAGGAGATTTTTAATTAAGACTTGGGTCTGTAAAGAGCAGTACACATGGATTCTCCTCTTTGCCTGCCCTTTCCTTTGGTTGAGTCTCTTTCCCTCATACTCTTAGAACCTCCTGTTTCCCTTTCCTCCATAGACTCAGTAAGAGATCTGGTAAATACATTCAGAGTAACATCTAAATCTTTGATAAGGGTTAATATGTTATCTTTCCATGGGTGCTTGGAAATTTGAACAGAAGACAAAGCTTTAAGCCAAAATACTCTCTTAGTGGGATTTTAAACACTGGGAAACTGGCAAAGCAGAAAAAAAAATTTTTTTTAAATTGTGGCTTCTTGGTATCTCACAATCACGTTCTTTAGGTAGCTGTCCATTTTCTCTGTATTGATTACAGTATTTTGAGATGTAGAGTGTTTTTAGTATTGGCCTTTGCCTAAGAGCCTAACTGAAAGTTTTTAGATCTATTGTAGTCTAGAAAATTCTTCACAGTGAAGCAATTCTTTCCTAGATAATGAGCTTTAAATTTTGGTTTCCTTTGCTTCTCTTCTAAGGCAGATTACTATACTATTGCTACGGCTGCTTGAATTACTTCTGAGCACTACCACATGCTAGCCACTAGATAAGTTTCTTATATACATTATCTCATGCAGTCTTCACAGCTCCAAGAGCTCACTGCATGGATTAGGAAACCAAGACTTAATACAGAGGTTAAGTTACTTGCATAAAGTCACAAAGGGAGGAGTAAGGGTGTGTGAGGGGTGGGGGTGTGTGGCCAGGATTTGAGCTTGAGTCTATATGACTCCAAACCCGTTATCTAAGATTATTATGATTTTAACAGTCCTTAATAGATAATGTTCACATTTCAATGAGAAATGGTTATACTATTTATGTAATTTTGAACAGAATTTTTTTGAAGATGGCTGTAGCTTTTGTTCCAGGATATAGTTTCCTGTCAGCTGAGACTGTCATGTTCCGTCTGAACTTTGATTCTTCTCTAGCATTTGTTCTGCAGTTGTGTTGAGTGCATCTTAAGACATTTCTTCTCTGCGTACAAACTCCTGATCTTAGACCTAATTGTAAAGAAAAACTGGGTAAGCATTGATTTGAGGGATGTCCTTTTGGTTTTTGTTGTTATCCATTAGTTGCTCAAACTTACAATGCACCAAAACATGGTTGTATTACTCTGCCTGGGGCATGATTTTCTCTTATTTGCTGAATCCTAGCCTTCCACGCTTTACATTCTTCCTCCCTATACCCAGTCTTAACCCCACTCACTCCTCTTGCCTGGATTTATTTTAACTTCTTCCTGATATGTTTTCCAGCTCCCTGTTGCTGCCCTCTAATCCTCTGCCCCCATATCCTGCAGCCTCTTCTCAACACAGTGTACCGATTTTAAAACCTAAGGCAGATAAATCTCATAAAGAAAGAAGCCAGGCACATAAAAGTATGTAATGTACAATTTCATTTATAAGCATAGGCAGAGCTAATCTAAATGGAAGATATTCAGAAATGTGGTTGCCTATGGGAGGATTGCCTGGGAAGGGCATGAGGGAACTTCTGAGGTGATAGAAGTATTCTGTGTCTTGGTAGCAGTGGTGGATACAAAGGTTTACATATTAATCAAGACTCATTGAATTGTTCTCTTGATATTTGTGTATTCCATTCAAAGTAAATTCTACATCATTAGGAAAAAACCCAAAGCAAAACAAAACAAATCTAAGTCAGATCATGCCATTTCTCTGCTCAGGCCCTCCAGTGGGGTCTCCCACTTCACTCAGTAAAAGCTCTATTTTTACGGATCCCCTTTACCTCTCTGACCCACTCCCCTCCCTTTTATACTTTATTCCAGCCACATGGCCTTTGGTTTTCTTTAGGTACACCAGGCATACTTCTGACTTGGGGCCTTTGCACTTGCTGTTCCCTCTGTGTGGAATGCCCTTCCCCCAGATGTCTACTTGATTCTCTTTCTTACTGCTTTAGAACTTCGCTCAGAAGCACCTCCTCAGTAAGGCCTTCCCTGGCCACTGTGTATGAAGTGTTAATCCCCTCTTCGACAACATTTTCTACTACTCTTTCTTGCTTTATTTTTTCTCCCTTAGCATTTATCAACTTCCAACATTCCATATTTACTTTTTTTTCTTCTTTCCTTGTCTGTCTTCCTCCATTGCTAAGGCAAGACCACGAGGGCAGATTTGGCCTGTTTGGTTCACGGCCGTATCCCCAGTGTCTAGATCAGCGCTGGTTCATAGTAGACTCTCAATTCATATTTGTCAAATAAACAGTTGTTTTTTATTTGCCTTAAATACAATGCATGGATGCTTTTCACTGTTACCAAAAATAATATTTAGTTCATATTGGAGACTGACTGAAAATAATCTGTTTCTGACAGGACTATCCAAGAGCTGCAGGGCCACCTGGAGTACGAACGACTACGAAGAGAAAAGTTAGAATGTCAGCTGGATGAGTGTCGAGCAGAGGTGGATCAACTTAGGGAGACCCTGGAAAAGCTTCAGGTCTCCAACCTTATGGCAGTGGTTAGTGTCCTTCTTAACATATTTGTCTTTCTCAGGAAGTAGTATACAAGAGTAGCTAAGAGTTCTAGCTTTGGACTGGGGCTGTTTGGATTTGAATCCTGGGCACAACCCTTTTTGACTTGAACATGTCATTTAACTTTTCTATGCCTTAGTTGTAAACTGGAGATAATACTTTACACTTTCTAGACTGTTGTAAGGATTAAAGGGATATGTGTGTGTGTGTGTGTGTGTGTGTATGTATTCTTTTATATATACACACACATATATCCATATATATCCATATATATATTGGTTAGAACAGCAGCCTGGTTAAGAATTCTAAGGCAGTTAGAGAGTATATATATATTTTTTAACATTCTAAAGAGCCAAAATAAAGTGGTTTGATTGGAATCCATGTAAGAAAGCTTCAGCTTCTCAAAAGAGCGGTTCTAAGAAATAGAAAGGAGCCACATGGAAGTTGTCCTAGTGTCCCTTTGTTCAGGTTACAGAGTAATAAAAAGAACATTTGTAACACTTTATAAAGTTCTCACACATGTTATCACATGTCAACTGACCTGCCCTCCTTTAACATCTGAGGAAAGTGAGGCTCAGAGAGGTGATTTGTCTAAATTCTCACAATTAGTTATGGTAGGATCAGTATTCAGTCTCTAACTTTTGATGTCATAGCCTAAGCTCTTTCTATAATTCCCAGCTGCAACTATGAATTTGGAATTCAGAATATAGCAAAACTTCTGAATCTGAGTCTCAATTTCCTCATCTGTAAAATGGGGATAACATCTACCTCATGGCATTGCATTGATGTTAAAGGACTCTGTATAGAAACCCTGAGCTATTTTCTGTCTAGTAGTATTCATAGTATTATATTCTCCCCATTGCCTTTTCTCCATTTTTCTTCCTTCCTTCCCATTTTTTATGTTCAAGCTGAATAAACATAGTCTATGGATAAGTAAATGTGTAGAGCCCTATGCGTTTGAGAGTAGGGGTTAGTTAGTTTATTTTGGAGTCTAAATAAATAAAGTATAAATAAAATGAAGTTCATTTAGTGCTCAGTTATATTGATTTTTCAAGACGCTCTGACTAAATCTCCTGCCACCTTCTGGTCAGGACCTGTGATTGATTACAATTGTACCTTTAAGACCTTTCCCCATGTAATAGATTCTTGTTATATATGTGAAGTATGAAGTATGGTGGCACCATATGCCAGGTTCCAATGAAAGGTTCGTTCGTGGGTTTTAGACTAGTTGGTCTGCTTTTCGAAGGGAAGAGACCATCTATATTACCCTGCGCTCACCAGTGCTTGCCACACTGTAAGTGGTGCTGCCAGATTCTCCATCTAGTCCCATCAAGTTTGCAGCTGAGAGAGGCGGGAGGAACAGACATGTGGTTCTCTTTTTTCAGGTGGTGTTGGGATAATGGCAGCTTACTCCTATGTTTGTATAGTACCATTTGAGTTAAGCTGACTGACCTCATTACAAAGGCATGGGCAGGAACACCCTGGGGAATACTGACTCCAGCCATGGCATCTCCCCATGGGCGTGCGCCTTGTGCTGTTCTTGGAGCCCCTGCATTCAGATCTGTCCTCCCTAACTGGGTGCAAGCATTTTTGACTGGAAGAATTACTCAAAGATGATTAACATCTAGTGAGCATCCACTGTGTTTCTAGCCCTCTCTTGCTCCTTCCCATAGCATTTATTAACTGAATCTTCTGTGCTAGGTCCTGAGGATACCATGTGAACATGGAGGGAATGGAGGAGCCAGGAAGTGTGATTTCTGGCTCTATGGGGCTTGCACAGAATACAGAAGATGACAAAGTAACACTGTGCATTTCAGTCAGCAATCTGTTGTGGAATGTTAGTCTAAGTTAGAAGCAGAACTGAGGTGTTCATTTTGGGGACTTACTAGGGGGAGATAGTACTGGATGGTTTCTCAAGGTGCCTCCTAGTTTTATGAGTCAGCACAATACGATGTGCTGGTCCTTCAGTTTTAAGAATTTATTTATACAAAATCCTAAAAGAACTTTAATCCAGAGTTGAAAATATCAGTATCATTAATTTTTTTCTTTTGGAACAGACACCATAGAAAGATGAAATGCGTCTAGGGTAGAAGTCAGATTTGGTTCTTTTTCTTTATTTGTAGGAAGATGACTCTTCCTGTGAGTTAAGCAAAGAGAAGAGCCGAGTGAAGAAAAAAGTGTCTTCTGGGGGAGTTTTTGTGAGAAGGTACTAATCAGTGAAATAGCTTTAAATAAACTTGCTTGATTTTTCTCTTTTATTTAAAATTTGATATGTTTATTTGTGTAAACTCTTCTAAAATTAATCTGATAGCCTATTACTCCAATTCTGAAGGCAGAAGTATGTTACATAACATCAAAGAAATTGTTAAAATTACATGGACTCAGTTGTACTCCCCTCCCAATATATTATTTTTATATTTATGTTGGCAAGACAAGATTCTAGATTTATGAGTAATTAATTTAGCAAATATTCACATAAACTTTAAAATATAACATGGTACAGTCTAGTATTCAAAAGAAATCCATTTCTAGATGTTAAAAATTATGCTAGATATGAAAAATTAGTAAAAATTCTATTATAGCTTCATAATAGAATTATAATATTTCTTTTTTCTTTTTTTTAAAATATCCTTATTGATTTCAGAGAGAGGAAAGGAGAGGGAGAGAGACAGAAACATCAATGATGAGAGAGTCATTGATCGAGCTCACGACCTGGGCATGTGCCCGGACCGGGAATTGAACCCCTATCGCCTGGATCCTAGGTCGATGCTCAACCACTGAGCCACGCCCGGCCGGGCTAATATTTCTTTTACTTTCTAGAAAGTACCATTTACTACTATTAGGGTACTTTTTTTTTTTTTTTTACTTTTAACTTTTCAGATGACTTGACTGTTAAAAAGCATCTGGACTTGGGAGAAAATACAACATAAGACCAGTAAGTTTTGGAAAAGGACAACTTTACAGTGACAACCAAATATCTCACTCAGGAAGGTTTTACAGAAAATGAAGACCAGTGCTTGTAAAAGGATAAAAACCCAAACATAATGTGTGCTTACTAAGAATACCCATGTAAGTAACCTGCTTTAAAATTCAACCATTGCTCTGCCTTGCAAGCTCTGTAAGAAAGGAATATAGACACAAGGCAGATTGGACAGAATAAAACACATGGTTTTACTACTTTTTCCCCCTCTACTTGGCTGACCAAAAAGACAACTGTGGCATTTCAGTTCAGTTCTGACTTCAATTCCCCCACTTTTCCTCCCCGACCCCACTCCCCCTCGACCTAGCAAAGATTTGTCACTCTCCTGGGTCACTTGCCTAGATCCTGCCTCCCCCTGAAGATCTGATTGCTAGCTTTGGGCTTCACTGGCAGCAGCTTCATGCCGTACATCAGACTCTTCACTCTGCAGGCCCTGGCATGTACCTTACATGGATGCTAAAGGCTATTTGGACCCTATCACTGGGACCAGTTTGCCGTGGCATGAGTGCATGCGGTTGCTAAGGCCAGTACAGGGCTGGTCAGCGGTCTGTAAGCAAGTATTAAAACATTTTTGGTAACTTTCATGGTCATTATTGTTAGTTTTTCTGTGGTTTCCAATAGGCTTTCAATCTGTAGTAATAATAGTTGTCAACATTTATTGGGCACTTATGTGTGAGATCTGTGCCAAGTCCTTTACGGATATTCTCTCAGTTCTCACAACAAACAGCTGTATGTAATAGATATATTTCATACATGGAGGTTAATTAATTTGCCCGGAATCGCATAGCAATATGGAGCCAGGATTCTAATCTTAACAGGGAAAGTTCAGAGTCTGCATTATTCTTACCCACTGCTGGAATTCCCAGCTCCACCATTTCTCTCACCTTCTGGGATTCTTAGCCTTACATTTTCTTTCTAGCCTGGTGACCCTAAAGTTAAACCCAGTCCTGGAAATAGTCTGTTATACTTGCTCCAGTTTTCTCAAGGCTGCGTCTCTAGTCTCTCTGTACTAGGGAGGTAGGAAATAGCAGAACAGCGTTGCAGAGGTTGCTTTGTCATCTCCCAGTATCTATCCTCCCCTTTTTCTGTAACATTAGGATTTTCCTGGGCTTGTGGCTGCTTGTGGCTGCTCCAGCTTCCTTTGCATCTAAGATACCAAGTTGTGGCCAATAGAGCGTGAGCAAAAATGGTATGTATAACCTTAGGGTCATGCCTCTAAAAGGAGAGGTTTGCCCACCTCTTGCCAATTTCTTCTTCTGGAATGTGGATGTGGTGGTGAGTCATTGGACCTTGTGAATGAGGGCCACACAGGGATGTTAGAGCAGTGAGATAAGTAGGAGCCTGGCCCCTGATGCAGAGAGCTGACACGCTAGCCCTGGAATGCTTACACTTGGGTTGTAGGTAAGAGAGAAATAAACCTCTGTATTATTTAAGCCACTATTATTTTGGGTTTATTGTAGCAGCTAAATCTAAATTGTAGTCTAACACCCAAAATTATGTGTATCTGATTTTAAGTTACAAAAATATATTATTGTCATGTTACATGTGGTGTTTTCCAGCACTAACAACCACTTCTCTGGTTTCTCTGGACACCAACTGGGTGTTCAACAATTCAGTTTAGACATCAACTATCCAAAGTTAGTGTCAGACTCCACAAGTTAAGGGCTCCATCTCACTAAACTGCCCCACTTCAGATACCATTTGCAAATCCCAGGTTGTCATGGGCACTTCTAATTGCTGTTCTTCTGGGGGGTTCCCATATCACCATCCTTAGGTTCAGTAATTTGCTAGAATAACTCACAGAACTCAGGAAAACACTTTACTTACTATTACCAGTTCATTAAAATGGATACATCTCAGGAACAGCCAAATGGGAGATGCTCAGGGCAAGGTATAGAGTGAGAGGTGTGTGGCACTTCCACGCCCTCGGGGTGTTTCATCGGGTTGGCTGTTGGTGATTGAACTCAATGGCTAGCTCCTCTCCTTTCTTTTCCCCTCCCTAGAGGCTGAAGTAGGGAGTAGGGGAGACTAAAAGTTTCAACTCTCTAATCATGTGTTGGTCTTTCTGGTAACCAGTCTCCATTCTGAAGCTATGGGGCTAGGGGCTCCTAACTACTGGTCATTTCAGCATAAAAAAACACTGTCACTCCGGAGATTCCAAGAATTTTAGGGGCTGTGTGCCAGGAAAACAAAAGCTCCTTATCACCTCTATCACTCAGGAAATAAGGGTTTTATGAGTTCTGTGCCAGGAACTGGGATGAAAACCAAATATATGTTTATTATGCCACATTATAGTAATATAAATAAGTAAAAATATATAAAGTAAAAAAGATGTTAAAAGAGATATGGGTAGAAACTAGTATTTTTTCCCCGTGCCTCAGTAGACTGTCCATCTCTTGAAATAGAGGGCTCAACTTGGAGGTTACTAGGATATTAAGTAAGAACATGAGATTTGGAGTTTAAGTCTTTGTCACTTATCTACTGTGTGATCTTGGCAAGTTACTTAACTTTGCTTAGCTTGTTTCTTTAGCTGTAAAATGAGGATAATACTACTTGCCTAAGAGGATTGCTGTGAAAAATATGTGAGTTGCTACATATTTTCTTTTAGCATATTCACTGTTGTATAGTCACTAGTCTACAAAATGCAATCACTGATTTGTGTTGGTGACCCTTAGCCTTTTCTACTGCCTCACCTCATTTATTCTTTATATTAAAAAAATATGTAGAACTTTTGAATATTTAAAACTTAAGACGTTACATATCTAAATTCTTGAAGATTGATGAAAATGGGCGCTATAAGCTTTAAATTGTTTTTCAAATATAGTGAAAGGATTTTACTGACTCTTGGCTAGTCCTTACATTATCTTGCCTGGTCTACTGTCACTAAATAGTATGAATGGGCAAGTCAGGATCTAGTCTATGGCCATAAGCAAGGTGAAGGTAACTAATCGTCTTGGAGACTTACCACCTACTGAAAACACCGAAAAGGTGTATAGTGTTCTCAGAACCTCTATAAATGAAAGATTCCCACCACACCCATAATAAAACATTTAAAGTATTAAAAAGTTTGGGTTAAGGTTGAGATCTATGCATATCGTTTATTCCACAGGCATTTAAGAAGTACCTCATATATGCTTAGAGGCCTTCTGGGAACTCACAGTTTAGTATAAGAAACAGACATACACAACAATAGCTACTCTATAGTGAGTGGAAGTGCTGGAATAGAGGTGTAGTTTTGAGGTACATGGGAACACAATCCTCTCTTTTTTCATTTCAGATATTTCCATTCCCTAAACAAAAATCTATCTAAACTCCAAAAATAACACCAAAATGAAGTATCCACAGAAAAGATACAGGATCTAGAAGTAATGGGAATAGGGTATGGTATATATACTTCTATTCTTCCATTATTAGATGCAAAGCACTTCATTTGCCAAATCCTTACAGATGGAACAGATCTATTTTACTATTAATGGCTATGAACTGGGAATATGCATCTTTATTTGTTGAGGTTTCAGGAGATCCAATAAATGGCACCCCCTCCGTCCCATCTGGGTTGTGAACCTAATTGAGATAGAGAACAGATTGAATTGATATAGAGTGCTAAATAGTACCTCTACTTACTAATAAAACTGATATTGGAGAATATGGTTTAGATCTTCAGTCCAGGTTTCCTATCACTGAGCCTCATAACTGGACAAATTTATTTACCCTGCCCCAAGCATCGTTGTAGTGGGGTAGGCTTCACCCGCAGAGGAGCAGCCTGCCCCTGGGCTTGATGCACCCGAGCAGAACAGAGTGAATGCTCTGTGTCGTCAGGCCGGTCCCAAACAGGACTGCGGAGGAAGTGGCGGCAGCACAGTGCAACAACTTCAAACTGCTTTCCGGCGGTGTAGCAGTCACAGTGTGACCGGCTACCTAGAGCTTACCAGCCAAATCACTTCCGGGTGCGACCTGGGCCGTTTCTCCCTGCACTTCACTGGGGCAGGTGGATGAGGAGAGGAAGAGTGACGGCAGTGTTATGCTGCTGGAGCTGCTTTCACGGGGAGGGAAGAGTACGCCCTCTCAGTACTTTATTGTAAATTATAACCAACCACTAACTTATTTACTTGCTCACCGCCCATCTTCTCCGCTGATTGTCAGTTCCATGAGAACGAACTGGGTTCACCTTTGTACACATGGGACCGGCATGTTGTCCAGCACTTAGCAGGGATTCTTATTTATTCAGTGAACGAACGCTTTGTAGAGTTAATTATAATGAACCTTTTGGTCCTCATTCATTCATTCATTCAATAAAAATTTACAGTGCACCAAGAATTTTCTTAGGCAAGAGAATTCTGAGATAGAAATGAATCAGAACGTAACAGGATATTAAAATAGTTGTTTCAAAAACAACAGATCCTTGAAGAAAATTTAGGTGGAAAGTGATTCTCACGGGACCATATGGGCCAGTCTTTGACTTGACTGCTCTATTCAAATTCCCCACTTATAACTAAAGAAATGATGGGGTTATTTTTAATATACTGAATAAATAATGGATTATCAAACTTTTAAAGCTATTGCCAAGGCGTTATGAAGTCCTTGGCTTTTTGTTCTGGTTAAAACTGAAGGTCTGAGTTGAAAATATTTTGTACTTTATTTGAAATTACATGTATTCTATTAAGATACTATTACATAAGGAAAAATACACAGTAGACCCAATAACAATAAAAACAAAAGTATGAGTTTCTTTAGAGTAGGGATTATATACAAATAGATGTCTGCTGAATCTTAGTATCATAAGAAAAAGCTTTATTTTAAGCAATAAATTTGAAGCAAGTACAAATGGATTCTTGTAAATCAAAATTTTTTTAAATAAATGTACTAATCAGGGCTTAAGATTTAGCAACTCTACGAATTTCATATTAAGTGTCATACACTTGCACTAGGGCACACACTTAAAAATTTAAAATTTATTGTTTTTAATTATTCAAGAATATATGCACCCCTATGTTCATACCAGTGTTATTTATAATAACTAAGATCTTGAAACAGCCCAAGTGCCCATCAGTAGATGAGTGGATAAAAAAGCTGTGGGACATGTACACCATGGAATACTCAGTGACTATAAATAAGAAGGATCTCTTGCAACAGCCATGGATGGACCTGGAGATTATTATGCTAAGTGAAATAAACCAGTTAAAGACAGGCAAATATCATGTGATCTCACTGTTATGTGGAATCTAATGAACAAAATAAACTAATGAGCAAATAGGTCCAGAGGCATGAATACATGGGACAGTGACAGATCTCAGAGGGGAGGGGAGACCAGGACGGGAANACAAATATCACATGATCTCACTTATTTGTGAAATTTAATTAATGGATGAACAAAATAGGTCCAGAGACATGGAAGCATGGAACAGAGTGACAGATCTCAGAGGAAAGGGGTGGGGGGCAGGAAGAGATTAACCAAAGAACTTATATGCATATATACATAGTCCATGGACACAGAAAATAGTATGGTGAAGGCCTGGGGTAGGGTGGGAGCTGGGTGGAGGGGTACATCAGGGGGAAAATAGGAGACATCTGTAATACTGTCAACAATAAAAAATAAAATTTTTTAAAAATTTATTGTTTTAAATTGTTTATTACAAAACAATCTCCAGCTATATGGTAAGTCACTTTAAGCAGCAGATACCAAAGAAATCCTATGATTTACACAACTGTTCAAGCAAACACAAGAAAATTCTAGTTCACTTTCTATACACTATCAAAAGGATAAAAACAAAAGGCCCTTCTATCTCAAATTAACCAGGTTTTGAATGGCAGCTTTTCAACATAATAAAATAAGGACATAAAAAACAAAGACAAAATACATCTTCTAAAACATGTTTTTAGTCCATATGTACTTCAGATAATCTTGTATTAAGTTTTGCTTCAACTTTCAATGTCCAAAGTAAATCTATCCTGGTGCAGTGTTTTAAGAAGTCAATAGAAGCAGCAGTAGGAGCATCATATAGTCGTTTCATTGCTATTTCCAGATTCTATAAAATCCTAATGCTATTGCCAGGCAAGTAAACACTGAGGCTGTGAACAGAAGAAACCATGTTACAGGTCATGCATTTGTGATTATTTTGCAGAGAGAAACAGAATAATGTCATCTTCGGTTTAAATGAAGAACAAAAAACAGGGAATCCAACCAATTTTGCAACTTAGGTTTTTCATTCCCTAGAAAATTACGCTTCAGATAAAGGGCATCCTTTAGGGTAGGACTGATACCAATTCTTAAAAGCTTCCTGTATTTCAGACTCCTTTACCAGTTAATATATACCTGCTCTCTGCTACATCATCTGGACAGAAAACCTTCCTGTTCTCCTTAAGCAGCTGAATCTGGGTGAGGCTTTTAGGGACTCCCTAGTTTCTAGTTTGTTTAAACAGCAATGACTTATTTTTTGTCAATACACAAAGATATTTATTACACCATTATTTACATAGAGAAAAATTGGAATCTACATTATAATAGAACTAATCTATGATACTGGATGGCCTATTATACAGCCATTAAAAATGGCATGTACTCATAGAATAAAAGACTAAATAAAATACAATAACATGTCAGTAATGATTACTTCTAATTGGTAGGATTATGGATGATTTTAATTTTCTTTATAATTTTTAAACAGCCATGACTTTTTTAAAAATAAGGAATGCTTCACGAATTTGCATGTCATCCTTGCACAGGGGCCATGCTGATCTCTGTATCATTCCAACTTGAGTATGTGTGCCGCCAAAGCGAGCGCAAACAGCCATGACTTTTAAAATAGAGAATCTGAAATGAAGGACAAACTTCAACTAAAGACACAAGAGACAATCTGTCATAGTAAAGCTATCTGATTTTAATGTATAAATTTAATTATACATTATCCCACTACTTACTGAAACCTGGTTAATGACATGATCATTTTCTTAATTTTAAGAAATGGGATTAGGTCTAAGACACACAGGGAATGAGGACATTTGAGGAGAAAGTATAATGCTAAGTTTCTTATCTTGGTCAATCATACATTCTTCCATCCATGTGCCAGGCAGTGTGCTGGGCAATGACATACATTACCTTATGTAACCATAATTAAAACCCTATGAGGTTGGTGTTATCAGTCCTATTGTATAGACGAGACAAGCCCAAGTGGTGGAACCAGGACTCAACACTACATGTTCCTGACTCCAAAGTAGTTGTTTTTAAAAAACAGCAACACTCTATTATCCTATTTATCCCTTGTCACCTGAAGGACTCAACCCAATTTGTCACTTTTTGGGCCACGTAGTGCTATCTAGGTGGTATATTCTTTGCTAACCCCAAAAGCTGGTTAAGTTGTCTTAGACTGCTAGTGAGCACTTTATCGTGAGGAAGGAGGTATTTCATTCCTTTATTAGAAAACACAACACAATGGTTACTGTATTTAAGTTTCTCTCAATTGTTGTCAACTGTTACTTCTCATTGCTGTCATTGTGCCAACCCCAAAGTGCTTTCAAATTTGTTGTTTATCTTCTATGGCCTGTCTAGGGCACTTCCTTTGGATGTGTAATGCACAGGTGAGCATGGGCCTGATACATCTTAAGTACTCTATGTTAGATTTCACTGTTTATCTGCCTAGAACAGAATCTGTCACATTAACTATAAAGATTAAATGGAAACTGCCATTATTTTACAGCTCTCGCTCTCTTAGCAACAGTGACCTGGTTCAAAGGGTGGTGTCTGACCCAAGATAGGCCATTCAGATCCCTTCCCTGGGATTTTCTGAATTGGAACAAGGAAAGGGATAATTTTTTTGGTTGGTGAAACTGGAATGATACGAGTCTGGGAGCTACTGATGGCCATGTTTGTAATCCGTGGAGGAAGCTGGTATAAAAAATGAGGCAAATATTCAAAGACAGGATACAGAGAAAGCTGTGATTCCAATTATCCCTGGGCTGAGGCTATACCTCTGTCCTTCTTCCATAATTCAATATGTAAGCCAATAAGTTCCCCTTTATACCTAAACTGGTTCAAATAGGAAGTATGATACTTGAAACACAGAGCCTTGACTGATGCATGATTTAAAAATATGATTAATATTTACAATTTTAGAAGGATTTCTTCTCTAAGGTAAACACAGGACCTTTACTGCTGGAGCTTTATTAATATTTTTTCTGTGTTCATGATTGCATTCAATATGTGACTCTCAGATGTGTGGAGTATTATTGTCTTATTGGCAAAATCTCAGGTATTCCAGGACCTAGTGGATGCACTCATGACATTAACTTCCCACCGGCTGAGTGTGTGGGATTCAGATTTCCTAAAAGGCTTGCTAGTAACTGCGGCAGTAAACAAACATTTGGAGAATAAGGACAGGGAACGACAAAGCCTTCAGAATCGTGGCTCGCACGTCCTCACTGGAAAAAGGAAGATAACCTGGGAAAGGTATTTTTCCAAACCATGACTTGCTAATTTCTTTTGCCACTGCCATTAAGTCTATTAGAGTCAGCCTTGTATATATCCACTACTGAATGAAAGCCTTATGGAGACCATCACCATCTTCAAACAGTATAAAAAGGATTTTATTCTTAACTAAGGTATTGATTCTTTTGGTAAACACTAGAGGAAGCTGAGTGGAATTTGAAGATCTTCAAGAAATTTGGTTAAATTTTAAAAAGTTGTAGTCTGTACAATGTGATCTAGTTATTATTTTAAAAAACTGTAATGCTTATATAAAGAAGAAAATACCTAGAAACCTTCCTAACCTGGTTGCTTTGAAATTTGTTTTGAAAAATGGTCACACACATTCCAAACTGGGCTGTTTGGACATTTCCCCTGAGCATTACCACTGAATTGATCTCCAGTTCCAGAAACTTTGCTAGAATGGGGGTTTTCAAAACTTGTTTTCGCCTTAGAATTCTTTCTTCAAATGAATCTTTGGTGGAAGCCCAATATTTTAAAAAGACAGATGAGCCATTCAAGTTGAAAAAATACAGGGAGTGTGCATCACTGAGGGCTGGGGCTCCATCTTCACTCCTGCCACTTCAACAATATTAGCGGCTGCCCAGAAAACCATTGATGGTATAAATCAGCAATTTTGTCTTGGACAACAGTTCAATAATATGAAAAATTTTAAATGTGCATATCTTTTTGACCCAAAGTATAGATATGCAAAGCAATTTATACAGAAATACTATCATGAAGGCACAAAGGGGGGTGTGTGTGTGTTTATCCAAGTAAACATATATATGGCTGTTCGGTGCATTGTTTTTAATAATGAAAAACTGGTAGTAGAATGTCAATAGACGTTTGGATAAATTACAGCAATTTCATACAATGGAATACTATGCCTTCTAGTAAACAGATGTCTATTGATGTGAAAAGATATTCAAGAAATTTGGTTAAATTTTAAAAAGTTGTAGTCTGTACAATGTGATCTAGTTATTATTTTAAAAAATTGTAATGCTTATATAAAGAAGAAAATACCTAGAAAGATATATACTACTATGCCTATGAGGAGGGAGTAGGTTTTCACTTTTACTATATTGTTTTTGAATTATATGAACAATTTAGAATGAAAAAGAAAAAAGTACTATTTGACTAGGGCATTCTTCCTGTCTCCTTGGGGTCCTATAATTGGTTCAGGTCCCATGGTACTTGAGGAGCACAGTATGGGACAAATAATCTAATTTGGGGGTAGTATCTGTCCTCTGTCAGTTGGATTCAAGGTAGGAGATATTTTCCCCCTTTGCTTGCTATGATTTTTAATGGCCTATATATATTTTAGTTATGTTTCCCTGTAAATCCACTCAAATACTGATGGAAGAGCACAGCAATAAAAATAACATTTTTTTCATTGAAGAATCCAGTTCATCTTCGCATCATTTGGACTTGTGTTTATATATTTCTTCGGCATCTATAAGTTTTTTCCTATTAGTAAGTTGCAAAGTTGCCTGTTAAACTTATATCCTAAACATATTACCTTTCAAACTTAGATTCTTCATGCACTGCAAGGGAATAAATAAAACTTGTTATAGCTCCTCTATTTTTTCTTCTGTGACAGCCATGGTTGCCTTGGGAGGTAGGAGCTGACAGGTCTGAAAATCAAAGGACAATAATTCCTTTTTCCGAGAAACACAGCCTTACCTGCAAGATAACGAATTGTCTCAAGCTTGTTAGATTCCATTAGTGTTTTTAAAGAAGCTATTTCAGTGTCAATTTTATTACTCGTCTCTGAAATAATACTTCTGGTTTTCGTATCCTATAGTAAATAAGAATAATGACAATTAAGTTTTATCCTTATATATTATTGGCAAAAATATTTACATTAGAAAACCTTATTTATGGGTGAATCGTGTATTACAAACGTTTTAATTGGGGAAACATAGTAAAAGCAGTGTGATATTAAAAAAAACATTATGGCACAGCTGGCATGGCTCAGCGGTTGAGCATCAACCCATGAACCAGGAGATCACAGTTCAATTCCGGTCAGGGCACATGCCCAGGTTTCAGGCTCAGTCTCTAGTAGGGGGCGTGCAGAAGGCATTCAATCAATAACTATCTCATTATTGATGCTTATATCTCTCTCCTGTCCTCTCTCTGAAATCAATAAAGACATATTTAAAATAAATAAATAAAACCATTATGTGAACATTACAATCTGACAAAAAATATTCCTTCTACTTTGGTATTTGGAGACCATTTATTAGAATTACCACATTCTGGGCACGTTCTACTAAAAATTTTAGTCACTGAACTATCACTTTATGTGTAGAAAGTCCTTAGGATAAGGTAGTTAAAAATTTAAATGTATTTTGCAAGAGAAAAACCCCAACCAGGTTTATGATGAGAACTGGCACCAACAGTAAGGAAATGGCAGAAATGCCTGTTGGGTAACACTGACTGCTATGTGTGCAGAAGCTACGAGATAGGAGAGGGGAAATGGTACTTAGAGCTAGAAATTAGCTGTGAGAGAATTTTTAAATTTCTTGATCTCCTTTGGCCAAAAAGTAAGAGAAGAGAATAGGATGCCAAGAAGGACAAATGGGACTTTCCCTTCCATTAAGCAAGGAAGAGTGCTGTCTCTTCTAGTAGAATGTGCTCCAAATGGCTTTTAACTCTCAAGAAAAGGACTGGCTAAGCCAGAAAGCTGGGTTTTACTCAAGCGACAAAGGTTAATGATTGCAGTTTAGGGTCACTGAGAAGGTAACCATTAACAATGACTATGGGGTTTAAAACCCAGGTTCATATCCCAGCTCTACCACTTACCAGCTGTGTGACCTTAATGTCTCCGCGCCTCATTTTTTAAATTGGTAAAATGGGAATAAGACTGCCTGCCTCACAGAGGCTGATAAAGGATTAAATAAATTGACAGAAGTACATCAAGTAGAACAATATCGACATATAATAAGCACTCATTAAGCATGTACTACTATTTTTTAAAATTTAAAAATAATTTAATCTAGACACTCAAATACTAATTATGAATCCTTGTCTTTTAAAAAATAATTCTTTTTTATATAAAAATAATTTAGTTTAAAAAAAGTATGCTACCTGGAAGGCTTGATTCTGACTCAGAGGTCACAGTTCAGGTACTATCATCCACCTGGTGGCAGTTATCCCCAGTGCTGGTTAACCATAAAAGCTATGAGGAAATCATGGATTCTATAAGGCTAGCTGTTTAAAGTCCAAACTTATAAAATGATACACATTAAAGCAGTTGCACAAGGCATGAGTGCTATACAAGAGACATTTTTACATACTAACTTACCTTTCTGGTAAATTCTGTGGTTGCTTCCATAAGTTTCTTTTCTTGATCTGTAAACTAAAGGATATGATGCATCAGGAGGTTAATCAAAAAGCCTAAAAGGGATTAAAAAGCATTAGGTAACCAAGAAAGTACATTTAAAAGCACATTACCATATCTGTTACTCTGCTCCTTTCTAAGTTGATGTCCAGTTTATTATCTGCTCTGATACGAGTGGTTTCATTCTTTAAAGAAAATAAAAATATTTCAAAAGTGAACTTGTAATGAATATTTTGAAATTAATAAAATATTTTGAAATGGGAAGAAAGTTTCACTTACTATTAATTGCTGCTTAACTTGTTCTAATTCACTTTTCATTTTCTAGATGTAAGAAAGGTCACATACAATTGGAATTAAACCAAAAGCCCATATTATGGTTTTTTCATAAACTCTAAAACCCTAAATTACCCAAAATTGGACAATCTATAGATTTCTCATACAGAATTTGACTAAAAACAAAGACAAAAAAGAATAATTTATCATATTTAGAAAGTAAATCTTAGGAAAACATTAGAAAATGTATTTGTGTTTTAGTTTTCTACTTTTTAAAACAATAGATATTCTAAATTTAAAAAGTTAAGCTAATGGATAACAAAATTACAAGTGAATTACAAAAAACATTTTTCTCTTAAATTACTCAAGTAATTAGTACAGGATCAAAAAAACGAAAAATGCCACATTACTTTCAGTTATACTTAGAGCTATTCTAAAATTGTATATAATAGATAGAGCTCAAATATTTATGTGACTTTTATACATATAAGATACAGCTCTTACTCTTTAGTATTCCAGAAACTATGCTTTATACATAGAAAGATTAGGCATGGTTAAACATACAGTATATTTTTATTTGAAAACTCGTAAATAATTATTTAGTAACCACATAAAATTATTACTTGGTCCTATTATTCACCAAATAGACTGCTTGGGAAATCAGTTATTTTTAAGCAATAGACTGAAACTCGTGCCACCTCGTTCTCTGCTCTCAGATTCGCAAATTCACTCTTCTCGAGGATGACCATGTCCTTCCTGATGGAGTCCAAATGGGCCATTAGCTGCTGCACTGTTATTTCCTAGAAAACCAAATAAAATAACCTCATGACCTATGGAAGGGGTCTCATGAAACTTCAGAGTTTCATATGCTATAAGATACAATGTCGGCTAAGTAAAAAAAAGTGACAGACCATATGAAACCTACATGTCTGAAATACCAAAATGAAAAGGAACAGGAGATTCAAGGAAGAAAAAGTATTTCCCAGTGAAGAGAAATAAATGTTTAGAAACATTTATAAAAGAATCCCAATAAAATGCTTATTTAGCATCTAAGAGTTCCTCAACAAATATTGTTTTTCTTAAAATGGCTACATGGAAAGGGTTTTGTTATCTTTTAGTGCGTTAGTTTTGAGGGATTTTCTATCATCAGAAAATTCCAGGGTACTGGATAAGACTCAGAAGTCAGGTAGTAAAACAAAATAGGTAGAAGTATGGTTTAAATAACTACCCCTTGTCAGCATAACATAATTAGTGGTTTTTTAAATGACATTTCAGTACTCTCAGCTGAAAACAGAAAAAGCAAGAGACACATAAAAATGAAAAAGGAAAAAAAATTAAACATTTTCAGCTATTAAATAGTTGATTTTTGTAAATCCTTTAAGCCAATTTGTGTTTTATCCAAATAAGTTTGCCCACTCCTGGTGGCAACATCATGGAAAAGAAATGTGGAGATGTTTTGCCTTAAATATCAATACTATTGTAAAAAATTATTTTTTTCTGTGCACAACAGGCATCCCTGAGTCTTATGCCTTCCCTAACCTTCATCCTTATTATTGGGGAAGGGGGTTCATTTTCTTTTTTGCAGTTCTGTTTGAAACAGTCATGAGAATTAGCTCAGAAGTCATATAGATGTGGCTCTCTGGGCTGTGTTAGTCCTATTCCCCCAAAATGTCACGATGAAGGAGTTCTAAAACATTAACTCTGTTACCTTTATTTAAATCTTTAATAAAATGTTATTACTGAGACTACACAGAGAACAGTTGAAAATGTAATTATAGATTTCTTGTGGATTCTGAACCTGAGGTAAGGAATTGTACCACGGCCCTAATAGCCTCTTGTTATCTCCATTTCCTCCTTTAAATAGTTTGTGACTCAAAAAGGCCTACAACACAGCACAGGTGTCCAGCTGCAAAAACTTTAAATGGAAAAGAATAATCCAGTATCAAGGAGTCAAATCTGTTAAGTGTGATCATTATAACTATTGTGGAGCCACCAGAGAATATCAATATAATTCAGACAATAAGTGAATTCAGAATATAACTGTATTCTCAGGTTGAGCAGACTTGATTTAGAATGGCCCTTCCTGAAGGGATCAAGTATGAAGCTTGTTTGTCTCATGGCCCTGAGCCTTAGCCCCATCTTTCATGGCATCTTTGTGCGTCATTCTATCCTAGAGGTGGGGTCAGCAAGGGGATCAGGCTCAAGGAAGGAATGGGATTTTAATTTCACACACCAGTAATAAAAAAAATCCAAAGTTCAGTAGTCATGTTACTACATCCAATCCTATATTTTGTATATATGATTAAATGGTCCTGGCAGCATAAACATTTCTCAAACCAGTTTTAACTCATTAATTATATAACAGGTAAACTTAAAAACCTGATTTAAGAGCATATTACTTTATTTAAAATGTCAGTAGCTCCATTAGCTCTTTCAGGATAGCTCAGAGGTTTTGGAAAATTAAATGATTGACTTTTTCTTTAGTGGATTTAATAGTCTGTTATGATTCTGAATAAATTAAGCTAAAATAATGCACAAACTTATAGGTAAGTTAAATCCAGGGGTTCAAAGCTCTTAATTCTAAATGTCTAATTGAAAATTATTGTAAAAATCTTTAAAAAGTTTTTGATCCTTCATGACCTTTAATGTAATGAAATTTTATGCAAGGGCTTCTAATTTTACATAAAAAAGAAACCCTAATTTCTCTAGGCTGTGAAATATTTATCTAAGGAAGGAAGCTGATATTTGAAAAATTAAAATTTAGGAAGATTCTTAAACACTGAATTAATTAATGATGACAAACTAGGAATTATTCCAGTTAAGCTCAATGAGCTTATTCTATCCTTTATATAAAATCATTGCTTTTGTCCATAGCACCACAATGACAAGTCTTGCAAACTACTCAACCTCTCTGATCATCTCTTCTGTGGCAAAAGAGAAAAATTCTACCTACATTTCAAGGTTGTTAGAGGGGTTAAATAATATGTGAGAAGTCCCCAACATTGTGCCTCACATCTTAAGTTCTTAGTAAATGGTGTTATTTGACTTGAAGGATTTGTATATCCAGTCAAATTAAAGCATCTTAGGTGATTTGTGAAGTCCTTCCCAGCCGTGCAAGTCCCTTCCCGCCTTCTAAGTTTTTGTGAAATTTAAGCAGAATATACACATGACTGCAGTAAAATATTATTATATAGAAGGGTTAGCTCTTCTGTGGTGGGCTTTCAACAGGGAAAAAGTTGTTTCATTAACAATCTACCACCGTCTCATGATCCATATATAATTATCTCACAATGAAAGATTTGACAAAATTTTATTTTCTTTGTTAACCATAATTCTGTTACGACTATTCTAACTCTGTAATCTCTGTAGGTACTGACTTTACTAAAGGGTTTTTTGTTTTTGATCCCTTTAAAGAGGACAATAAGGAAGATGCAGGTATGTTTGGGTGGTCAGTGGGCAGGGAGGCAGTTATAAAAAACACTGTCTAATGAAACTGTGAGAAGTGATAAAAATGAAGATGTTACCTGTTGAGCCTGAGTGACCATCTCCTTATAAATAGTATCCAAGCTGACATTTGATAAAGTGCTTAATGCTGATACAATTGTTTCTGCTTGTGCTTTGTCAAATCCTGTAGGCAGCAAATAGGTATTTATATTTTTTAAAAAGTACACATTCTCATCAGAATAAACAGCTGATATAACTTTCCCTATAAAAATTTGACAATTTATGCTATATTACTCTCTAAAAGCACTCTACAATTTTAATTCCCACTGATCCATTTCCCCAATCTTATCAACACTAAAAATTACTAGTTTATTTTTAATTGTACATTTGGAGATAATTTTAGTTTTATTTACTTTTTAAATAGGAAATATATTTACATGGTTTAAAGTTGAAAATGTATAAAGGGTAAACAGTGAGAGGCCTCTGTTCCAGTTATATTTTGCAGCATAGCAAACCACCCCCAAACTGGCATAGAACAGTAATGAACAGGTCAGTTCTCCTTCAGGGTGTCTTATTTTTGAGTGTATAATTGTTGGATTCCTGTTCAAGGCGCATGCCTGGGTAGTTGCTCTCCACGGATCCCCAGTTGGGGGCATGCAGGAGGCAGCCAATCAATGATTCTCTCTCATGAATGATGTTTCTATCTCTCTCCTCTCCCTTCCTCTCTCTGAAATAAAAAAATGTATATTTTCAAAAAGGTATTAGTTATTTTAATCTATACTTAAAATTTGCATTTCCTTGGTCAAGTATCTACATATATTTATTGGCTACTGATATTTTTCTGTGAACTGTTTATAGCTTTTGCCCATTTTTCTGTAAAACTGCTGAACTTATTGATTCATATGAACTCTTTGTATATTAAAGCAGTAGGCTCATTGTCATGCTTGTTGCTGACAATTTTAACTTTATGGATGATATCCTTTAAAATACAGATTTAAATATTTCTGTAGTCACATCTGTCAGTCTTTACTTTCACTGCTTCAGAGTTTTATGTCTTGCATCCTCTGAAAATCTATATTCTAGTATTCTTTTAGTTTGTCTTTCATTTTTTACATGTAGCTTTTAGTCAATCTAGAATTTATTTTTCAGTAAGGGGATGATACATATTTTCCCCAATGGCTAGCTAGTCAGTTACCATAACTCACTTATTAAATATTCCTTCCTTTACCTATTTGTAATGCTTTCTTTATTGCTTACTAAATCCGTATGTGTGTCTGATTCCTATTCTCAAATCAACTTTCCTATGTGATATTACATAATTTAAATAACGGTATCTGGTCATTTTTTGTGCTTTTTTTATTTTGTTTTTTGCTGTTCTTAAACACTGTCCTTGTAATTCCACATGGATTTCAGTATCAGCATAGAAACTCTAGTTTTTCTTCTTTTTTACATAATAGGAATCATTCTATACATGTAATTTTACATAATGCTTTTTTCACTTATATACCTTGAGCATTTCTCATAATCAAGCAATACCATTTTTATGATTGTAAAATATTCCACTGTATGGATGGCACTTATACTTAAATAGTGACTCTTAACTGTTCCTAACAGTGATATTGTCTTGACTAGGTAATTTGTCATGAATGGTGTTAATTTACTTCTTTCGAGATACCCATGTTTCTCACCATGAGTTTCCAAGTCCTGAACCAATGCATGGGTATCAAAAGTTAATTTCCTTTGTTCTAAAGGAGTTATGTCCACTCGCCTCATATCATGTCCTTCCTTGGTTGTGGTGGTGAAGAAGTCTGAAAAGAGAAGACAATATTTTTGTTTCTTGAAGTAACTAATGGAAGCATCACACTTCAGCTTCTAAAGCATTTCCCCCATGTATTTACAATACAGTTCCAGCTCTTCTCCTTAGGAATTCTGTAATTTCAGGCAAGATAATTGACTCTTGAGTCCCTCTTTTATCCAAAAGTGTCTATCATCATTAGGCTTAGCAAATATTCAATAAATGTCTTCTTTCCTTCTTTTAGTATTCAGAAATGTTTAAGGGTCAGTCTAAAATTGTAATATACATCAAAAGTTTTGACTATCGCTGCCATGTCTCTAATTACTGGAGAACATACACTACCCAGCTTTCCTCAGTGCTCAGAAGTTGTTTATAGTGCTAAAAGAATTTTTTATACCTATATCCCCATCCAAAGTAGCTTTCTGTATCCTACGCTTATATATTCAGTTTATTTTCCAGTTTTCAGTTCTAATCTGAAATTATCTTGTTTACTGTTTGTCTCTTTGAATCACAATATAAGCTCCATGAGGTACTGACTGTTTTTCATTACTATATCTTTAATACCTAGAACACTGCTTGCTAAATAGTTGGGTTACAATATTTTATTGTTAAATAAATGAATTTTATTTTAAAAGCTGGACTATTTACTGTTAACACAAAAGCCCTAGGAAAAGTTTGACATTTTAAAAACAGACGTGCTGTTTCAATAAACTCCCAATTTTTAAGGCACTGGGGATGTGAGCAAAACCAGACATACCATGTTTTCATTGACTTTATAGACTAGCAGGTAGGAAACAGATTAAAAAAAAAAAATCTGTATATAAACTCCATCATTTTCAAATGATGAAAAGAGTAAGGGGCCACTTAAGGTTTCTCCAATAGGTCAGATTCAAGAGGGTAACTCAACAAATATGTTGCAACGTTATCGTTTACTTATGGTGATGTATTTTCCAGTATTAGATGCAGTTCAAAGTTCATTGTCTGAAAATATTTAATAGTTTTCATTTGAATATGTGAACAAGTTCATCTCTAAAGATTTGCACAGATAGGATTGAGGTTGGGTGATTTCCCAGGGTTCAGAAAATGCTACCTCCATTTTTTAAGGGCCATCTAATGTGTATGCACGCTCAACACCTAAATATATAACCAGAGGCACTGTGAGGGACCCTGGCAGCTCACAACTGCGTAAGAACAGCACAAAGTGCAGTGGGTACTGGTTGGCTCATTTCACCTGGCGCTGAAGATTCAAGGTGAACAGTGCCCACTCTGTGGACAAATTGAGTTTAAAATGGGGGGGGGGTATTCTGAAAACGTCTGTCAGAGTAAGGTCAGATGTCCTTCAGGGCACACTGCTAACAGGGGTGCCACCTAGTTCAACACCTGCAGGTTCCAGCATTCACGCTCTGCTTTATTTTTGAATGGCTCCTATGTGCTAACTGCAGAGTAATGAAAACTACAGCGAGAATACAGCGGACCTGACGTAAGCTGCAGTCTACCAACAACCTGGGCTCGAGGCCAGCACCGAAGTAAGTCTAAATTTGAACAGGCCACGAAAGAAATCAGGACTCTCCAAGTTTGCACCTGACAGATCTACGAGACGGCGGGGATTACCGGCCTCATTTCACAGTAAACAGGCAACGAGCTCAGAAAGAAGTGGGGCTCCAGTGGTGCCGCTAGCAGGGAGCCCCAGGCCTTCACAAGCTCGCGCTCAGACCTCTCACAGTCCTGGCCCTCCCCGGGCGAGCCCCCGCAGCAGGGTCCCCCGCGCCCCGCGGGCTGGGCAGGAGGGCGTGGCACCCTCGCCTCGGGGCAGCACCAGCGTCGATCTCTCTAGAATGCACTCGGGCGTCGGTGACTCGGGGCGTTCTCTCACCTCTCCGCAAGGCCGGCGAGAAACGCCCGCGGGGGGTTGAAACCCGGCGGACCCCGCGACTCTCGGAGCGCAAGAGCCGCCAGACATAGCGGCTCCACATATCCTCAGTTTCCCAGCCGGTGGGAGGAAGCCAAAGGCTGGACGAATCACGCTCAGGCTTTCGGGCAAGGTAGTTCTGGCGCCGCGAGGATGCTGGGAAATGTAGTTTCCGACCTGTAGCAACGACCCCACGCAGCGCCTGCTCGACCTGCGGTTACGCAAAGCTGGGCCTCGTCACAGACGGACCCACAACTCACTAGCATGGTTCAGAGCCGCTCCGCTTCGCCCGCCACACCTTCCCCACCCCTGCACGCCGTTACCGCCCTGAGAAAGCGGGATCTTGTCTTTGAACCTTCCGGCGCCCGCTTCCCGGCAATGAGGTATAGTTCACCAGAATAACCCTGGGCAAACAGCAGCCATTGCGCGTTCGGGTCGGTGGGAGTCACGTTTAGCCGCACAGCAAGCTGGGACCTGAAGTTCTCAGCCGCTGAGCATTCTGGGGGTTCACGCAGATGCTTTCTGGGACATGTAGTCCAGAGACGCCCACACTCTTGCTGCGTTACATTCGGCAGCTTCGCCCTCTGGTGCACAGGAGGAGGAACTTTAGTTAATTTAGTCCGTCTACATAGAAACAGAATTCCTCTGCTTCTAGTGCAGTAGACTTGATGTTCACTACTTAGCCATCTCACGCCTCAGTTACTACAGACTTTGCTCCGCTTGGTAAAATGCGGAAAATAACAACATACGGTAGTTGCAGGGCTAATACATTGTTTGTAGATCTTAAAAGGGTACACACTCGTTAGTTTTTAGTGGCTTAATCTCACAAGTATCCACACAGTTACCACTAGATTTTCCTACTTATTTGTTTTCAAAGCTCCGGGACCATCAGCTATGTAACAAGCACCATTCAACCCACCGAGGCATATTAAAAGAACAACACTTGACTCCTGGCAGCAGGGGCTTTAACAGATAATTCATGGAGAGGAAATATAAATCGCTATTAAAAATGGAAACTAAATAAGAAAGGACAGTTTAGTCCCATAAAGTCAATAAAGATTTTTTTAAAGTGATAATTACTAATGCTTTCAAATATGCAATTAGGGCCACTCATGCTGCTGGCAGGAGTGTAAATTAGTGCACCATATTTAGAAATCAATTTAATAATATATATAAAAACTCTAAAAAGTAAATAGCCAAAGTTTCATTTCTAAGAATCTATCCTAAGAAAACATAATCACTTTTGTAGCTAAGAATTTTTAAATTTATAGCCCTTGCAATGTTATTTATAATAATGAGAAACTTGAAATCATCTAAATATACAGAGTGATTCAGTAACTTGCAGAAATGTCCAAAGTTGGAATAATATGCAACCACTGTTCTTGTTTTTTTTAGTTCTTAGCAACAGGAAAATTTGCACGCACATACACACACACACATCACACACACACACACACATCACATATATACACACATACAGTTGACTCTTGAACAATGGGGCTGGGGTTAGGGGTGCTGACCCCAGCCTAGTCGAAAATACGTATATAACTTTTGACTCTACAGTAGACCCTTCCCATTCACAGATTCAACCAACTGGAGACCAAAAATGGTATTTTCCATCTGCAATTGGGTACTGTGGTTATGAATGCAAAAATACTGTTTTCTGTCCAAGCTTGTTTGAATCTGCAGGTGTGAAACCCACGGATACCAGGGCCAACTGTATTTACTGAAAAAAATCTGTGTGTTAGTGGACCAGTGCAATCCAAGCTGGTCTTGTTCAAGGGTCAAATGTATATTTCCAATATGATTATAATTCTGTTAAGTGATATGATCCCTGCTCTGGAGGAGTTCACAGGCCCTGGAAGATACAGACCAGTAAGTAGGACCATCGTATGTTTACTTACCTTAAATTAAATAATGATAATAAAAAAGTGTACCTCTTTATTTATTAATACTGTTTATTATTTATATTGCTGTAAAACTCTCTCCCCAACAGAAATACAACAGTGTTGATTAGTCATGTGACCAAAACTGGACCAATCATGTTCTCTTCCGTGGAATTGGCATTTGGATTCAGGGATTCTTAATCATTTTCTAAACCTGGCTGGAACTATAGCAAGTGAGCTCAGGAGCTGGGACAACCATATCCTGCTCAGTGGGCAGGAGAAGTACAGAGAGGCATCAGCAGGGATAGCAGATGGAGTGAGAATGGAGCTAATAGATTTAGCCACTCCCTGAGACCTCTCTAATGCTTCTGTGTGCTTCCAAAATCTCCATTGTTGCTATTATTCAAATGCTGAAAGTCTTAATTTATGAAACTAATTTTCCATAAGTTTGTTAATGTTTTTTACAAGTGCGTTGAGAGAATAAAGGAGCTAATACATGTAAAATGCTTAGCACAGTACATGGCACATATAAACACCCAATAAATAGTAGCTATTTTTATTAATAATGCCTGTTGACCTTTCTCAATGTTGGGAGATAATTCTCCATGGGTCTCTCATACCTCGCATGCAGAGACCCTCTCTGCCTTTTGTTATGGACTCTCTTTTAAGGAAGTTTGTACAGGGTGGGACAAAAGTAGGTATACAGTTGTGTATTTGGAAAATAATTCAATAATTAATAAAGAATAATACAAGAATAAACTCTGTGTTTCACGTACTCACAACTCCAAACCTACTTTTGCCCCACCCTGTAAAATGAACAGCCTTGGGAAACATAGTGTCTCTCTCTGGAGCAATAAACCTCATGCCTGCTGCAAGCCTATTATAAAAGATTTGGGTTTTCTTAGTTCAGGGTTTCTCTTGGTAATACAATCCACTGCACATTCAGTTACATTCCTGCCCCCATGGGACTTGGGAACAACACAAATATGCTGATGTTCATGCTGCTTGCTGTGCCATGAGTAGTTATGTCCTTTGTCTCTGGCCAAGGATTCTCATGTCTTCTGCCAACAACCATGCAACTGTGACAGGCTAACTTGTTAGCCTGTAGATAGGGTAACATCTCAGACCCCTCATTGTTCTTGACAACCATTGCCCTACTCTGGACTAAATTTTTTTTTCATCCTTTCAGTTGAACTCACAGAGTGCCAGCCAGGTTTAAGGTTAATCTGAGGAATGTAAAGAAACATAATTCAGTCCAATAACTATTTGACTTGTTCCTATACGCAAATATTTCTGCTCTTCAAGAACTTGTAATATAACTGGGAGAACAGAACAAATATACCTACAGCTTCCACACAAGGCAGTAATAGATTAGTGTCATATAAAGATTATGGAAAATAAATACTGTGGTTCAGGCAAGAATGATATTTTTGGGTCATGGTTATCAATAAGAGATAAGGTTAGGAAGATTCAAGATGGCAGTGGATTGAGTAGAAGCTACACTGACACTCTTCCAGAACCAAACTGGAATTACAAATAAAATATAGAAAAACCACCCTGAATAATCAACTGCAACTGAAGACGACCTAGGGAGCACCTTTGTCATAACCAGGGACAAAAAGTGGAGACCGCACAGAGACTGGTAGTAAGTGCAGAGGCACGAGAGAGCTGGCTGGGCTCCCACAGGCAGTAGCTGAAGGTCTGGAGGGATATCTCAGCTGCGGGGGGTTCCCACTGAAAACTCTGGGGTCTAAACTCCAAGCTGGCTTCCCAGCCCAGAGCACCAGAAGTGAGAAAGATACTCATATAACATCTGGCTGTGAAAAACTGTGGGGTTTCTGTCTGCCAGGGAGAGACAGCTGGAAATGCAGGCACCCTCTTAAAGGGCCAATGCACAAAGTTTCACGTGCAGCCATTCACCTTGGGCTCCAGTGGAGCAAGAAGAACCCAAAGAGGCCCACACCCAGACACATCATAATTAAAATGCCAAAAATTCAAGACAAAGAATCTTAAAGGCAGCAAGTGAAAAGCAAGCTGTTACGTACAAAGGAGCTCCCATAAGGCTGTCAGCTGATTTCTCATCAGAAACTTTAGAGGCCAGAAGGGAATGGCATGAAGTATTCAAGGTAATGCAAAACAAGGATCTGAAACCAAGACTACTCTATCCAGCAAGGCTATCATTAAAAATAGATGGTGAAATAAAGAGCTTTCCAGACAAAAAAAGGCTAAAGGAATTTATCACCACCAAACCAGCATTGTAAGACATGTTAAAAGGACTGCTATAATAAGAAGTTGAAATAGAATGAGAAACATAGGCATAAAGAAATAAAATGGCAACAGATAAGTACCTATCAATAATAACCTTAAATATAAATGGATTAAATGTCCCAATCGAAAGGCAAATATCACATGATCTTACTCATATGTGGAATCTAATGAACAAAATAAACCCATGAACAAAATAGATCAAGAGACACAGAAGCATGGAACAGACTGATGAATCTCGGAGGGGAAACAGGTGGGTGGGGAGAGATTAACATAAGAATTTATATGGACACAGACATGGGGTGAAGGCCTATGGGGAGTAGTACAGGGTGGAGGGGATCAATGGAAAAAAGGGGACATTTGTAATACTTTCAACAATAAAGATAATTTTTTTTTTAAAAAGAGATAAAGTTAGAGCCCTGTTTTTAAGGGTTTCTGTTAGGTTGAGATTGCAGGGCAGAAATCTAGGAGAGAGAATGGAGTGAGCAAGAATGGTTTAGTAATCTCTATGCTCTTTCCCACTTCAGGGCCTTTGTACGTGGTGTTCTCTCAACCTGGAGTGCTTTCTCCTCCTTCTAACCTGGCTAAGTCCTTCCTGTCCTTCAGACCTCAGTTTAAATGCCACTTCTTTAGGAGGTCACCTACTCTCCACATGTACATTCTATGTTTTTGATATGGACTCCTATAGCACCCCAACCTCCCCATGTCTGCGCTCCTCGTTTGTATTCTCCATGAAGGTAGAAAACACATCTGTCACTGTTTTCTCCAGCACCTACCACCATTCCTGGCCTATAATGAGCCTGTGGTAAATACATGCTGAACGAATGGGTAAATGTTCAAAAATATAGTCATAGTTTTTGTTCTGTTTTGTTATTCCTCTCCCAAGGATATTTTTTCCATTGATTTTTAGAGAGAGTAGAAGGGAGGGAGGGAGTGGGGGAGATAGAGACAAAGAAACACCGATGTGAGAGACACATTGATTGGTTACCTTCCTCACATGCCCCGATTGGGGCTGGGGATCAAACCTGCAACCCAGGTACCTACCCTTGACCAGGAATCGAACCCAAGAACTTTTGGTCTGCAGGCTGACGCTCTAACCTCTGGGCAACACAAGCCAGGGCAAAGATAGTCATAGTTTAATGA